TTCTTTTTTTAAAGAATGTTACTTGTTTATTATATTATTTTGTAGTCGCCCAGTTGCCAATATTTCATACATATTCTAAACGAGAACAAAACAATACGTCGGTAATTTGATGACGGTAGGGCGGGAACTTTGGTCTACTGCTGTCGGAAGTGTGTCTATTAAGTGCAGGAATTTCCCCTTGTAACTTGTCAGCTAAGCACGGACCGCTAAACACTGAAGTTGTTCAAGTTGTGTCAGGAAATAAATATATGATTATTTCTATAAAGGTTCAAATCAGGTTGCCGAAATGAAATCTAGATATTAGGTGTACGTCCGTTTATGACAATTTCGCCGGTTAGTTCGTATTTAAGACTTCGATTCAATCTGATTGATTGTTTTAATGTTTATGCTAACAGAAACTCCACATATAGTATTGTATTTATGTTTGTTGTTTGTTTTTTTATACATCTACTTTGTTCAATACAAATAAAAGCATATGGAACAAATTTCCGTGATTTTAAAAGCTCTCACGGCGCACAAAAAAACGCAAAAGACAATGTTAATTCTTCATTAGACTCGAAGTTAAACAAATAGTTGACCAAAAAACCACAACAAAAATGTACAAGTTTTATAACGGTTTTGAATGCTTTGAAACGTTATATATGCAGAGCTTCCGGGGCGCTTCGCCTCCCTGGTCCCCCTATCAGGGCTTTGCCCTGGACCCACTGGCAGCCTTGAGCGGCCCCCAGACCCCTCGCCTTTAGTTTGTGATTCCACTTCATTAAGAAGGTAGCTACGCCCCTGCTGTCCTCCCGGTGCACAGGTGTTGATTAGCTGGTCTTGAAGTGCTCTCGATGCACAATTGTTCATTAGCTGGCCTTGGTGTGCTTCTGATGCATAGGTCTTTTATATGGTAAGCGGACAGAAAGTCACAAATTTGGTACGACAAAATGTCACAATTAATTTGTTAATTACTGTTTCGATATATAAGGGAAAGTTCTCGAAATAATTTATTTTTATTACATTTATTCATTTTACAGTTTAGGAAATAGTTCAAAGCCTTGATAAATGGAAATTTATCAAATTTTAATCATGTTAAGGATAATTTTATTTCTTGGCACCATGAAGCCATATTTAAAGTACCAAGCCACTTTGACAAAATGTTTTCTTAACAACTATTTGATCATTGGTGATTTTTTTTAAAATAAATTTTGTTTACAAAGTAGCTTTATATGAAGTAGACATAAGTTCAAGAAAAAATACAAAAATGTTTTTAAAAATAAGTATTTTCTTATTGAAAGAAAAACAATCTCAAAACTGAATTGTGACTTCTTGTCACTGACTTTTTGTCTGTGACTTTCTGTCCTACATTCTTTATTAGCTGGGATTGAAGTCCTTCCGGTGCTTAAGTGTTCATTAGCTGGCCTTGGGTGTCCTTCCGATGTAAAGGTGTTAGATGGCCTAGGTGTCGTTCCGATGTACTTTTATTAAATAGCATACACTAATATTGTATAAAGTTTGTATTGTATTGTACAAATTTTGGTAATTTCATTGCACTAAATAGATATTTTATGTTTAAATTGGGATAAATTGTTTTTATAAATAGTCCACGTATGCAACAGTATGTAATCATCGGATGTCGATGGAATATTGTATACCTAAAGAAGAAGATGTACAGGTGTTCATTAGCTGGCCTATATGTGCTTCCGATGCATAAGTGTTCATTATCTGCAAGGCAACATGTGTTAATTTCCTGGCCTTGGTGTCGTTACTTTGCACAAGTGTTCGGGTGACTAGTTGGCTTTTATGTCTTTCCAACGTAGAGATGTTTGCAGGCTTTTGTGTCCTTCCGATGCACATAAGCTGGCCTTTATATTGTTCATTAGGTGTTCATTAGCTTCAGATGAACTGGTGTTCATTAGCTGGTCTAAAAGTCCTTTTGATGCACAGGTGTTCATTGGCTGGCATCGGTGTCCTTCCCGGGCACAGATGTTTCTTAGCTGGCCTCTCCGATGCACAGGTGTTCATTAGCTTAAATTGGTGTCCTTCAAATACACACGTGTTAATTACCTGGCCTTTGTGTCCTTACGTGTACAGGAGTTTCCGAAAAAGTTGTCTGTGCAGCTTAAAAAAAATTGAAGGAAAAATATATTTTTTTTCAAAATCGATTATCCGTTCAACTATCTTACTATTTTTTCTGGTAATAGTATAATATTATGTCCCAGTTTTAGAATAACTTGGTCGTCTTGAGTTTTTCTTTAATAAACATCCAGCTCAAAGGCGTTTTTTTTTGTTAACTTATACAATACAATACAATACAATACAATACAATACAATACAATACAATACAATACAATACAATACAAAACAATACAATACAAAACAATTCAATTCAATTCAATTCAATTCAATTCAATTCAATTCAATTCAATTCAATTCAATTCAATTCAATTCAATTCAATTCAATTCAATTCAATTCAATTCAATTCAATTCAATTCAATTCAATTCAATTCAATTCAATTCAATTCAATTCAATTCAATTCAATTCAATGTGGCCTAGGAATGATTCACTAGGTCAGTACACTAACATTGAATTGACTTACACTCATATTGTGTGTTTTTTTTTTAAATGGAGTCTCTTTCAGGAGGATGGGAATGCCCTTTACCGTCAGGCGTCAAACGGTTTTTTTCGGCTACCGTTAGCGTCAAATTGGTTAAAATTTTACCGTGATTCGTCAAAATATCGTTATCGTGATTCGTCAGAGGTCTCAAATAATTATCGTTACCGTTATTTTTGGAGAAAATTTAACGTGATTCGTCAAAATCAGTCTTTTTTTTATCGTCTTAAAGAAAGTGTACATTCTATCGTCATGCACCAAAAATTACCGTTAACGTCTTTTGGCAAGATTTTTTTACCGTTATTCGTCATGAAGGTATCCCCATTACGACCCTCTTTCAGTCCAGAGATAATTAAATTACATAATAAAATTGAAAATGGAAATGGGGAATGTGTCAAAGAGACAACAACCCGACCATAGTACAGACAACAGCAGAAGGTCACCAACAGGTCTTCAATGCAGCGATAAATTCCCGCACCCGGAGGCGTCCTTCAGCTGGCCCCTAAACAAATATATATACTAGTTCAGTGATAATGAACGCCATTCTAAACTCCAAATTGTACACAAGAAACTAAAATTAAAAATAATACAAGACTAACAAAGGCTAGACGCTCCTGACTTGGGACAGGCGCAAAAATGCGGCGGGGTTAAACATGTTTATGAGATCTGAACCCTCCCCCTATACCTCTAGCCAATGTAGAAAAGTAAACGCATAACAATACGCACATTAAAATTCAGTTCAAGAGAAGTCCGAGTCTAATGTCAGAAGATGTAACCAAAGAAAATAAACAAAATGACAATAATACATAAATAACATCAGACTACTAGCAGTTAACTGACATGCCAGCTCCAGACTTCAATTAAACTGATTGAAAGATTATGTCTTCATCGTATGAATATCAGGCACAATCCTTCCCGTTAGGGGTTTAGTATCATACCATCATAACATATATGAGAAGAACATAACCCGTGTCATGCCAACAACTGGTTTTTAAATAAATGTGTTTAGTGCCGATGCAAAGACCCTATAAGTGAATCAATATTAACGCCAAAATATGCAATCTTTAATGACCTGACAACAGTATCGTAACTATATCCCTTCTTAATAAGTCTATTTAAAGGTTTTTTTAGCTTCAGAGGTGAATACTGACATTTTTGTGCTTTATAAAGAATATTTCCCTAAAAAATTGGATGTGAAATACCTGAACGTATAAGAAGTCTGCATGTTGAGCTATATTTACGAATGATGTCCTTATACCGATGATAAAATTTAGTAAATGTTTTGACTAGTTTGTGATATCGAAAACCCTGGTGTAATAATTTTTCCGTAATACATAAATTTCTCTCGTTAAAATCTAAAACATTGTTACATACACGAGCGAATCGTACAAGTTGAGATATATAAACACCGTAAGATGGTGACAAGGGAACGTCACCATCTAAAAATGGATAATTAACGATAGGAAATGAAAAATCATCTCTTTTATCATATATTTTAGTATTAAGCTTTCCATTAATGATATAGATATCAAGATCGAGGAAAGGGCAGTGGTCATTGTTAGTATTAGCTTTATTTAAAGTAAGTTCAACAGGATAAATTTCTTTAGTATACATACTGAAGTCGTCATTATTGAGAGCCAAAATATCATCCAAATATCTAAAAGTATTATTAAATTTGTGTATCAGATGTTGTTTCGATGGGTCTTTGCTGATTTTTGTCATAAATTGTAACTCATAGCAATACAAAAAAAGGTCCGCAATAAGTGGTGCACAGTTAGTCCCATTGGAATTCCGATAACCTGACGATATACGGAATCTCCAAAGCGAACAAAAATGTTATCTAGTAAAAATTCAAGGGCATACTATAGTATCAAAGCATGTCCAATTGACATAGTTTTTTTGTTTATTGCTACTAAAAATGACCTAAAAGAGTTTGAACATATATATTCACATTCTGACTTTTTAAATGCCCACTTTAATTAGGTGTGGTTAATTAAGTTTTTTTAGAACTTCTGAATTCTCACGGCTCATTAGCCATATAAACATTTTTCTGGATTACAATATTTTAGATTAGGATATATATTTAACCAGAGATTTACCAATGACTTTGGTGTATATTTTTCTACAAGTTTCAATTTTTTTATAATGTAAGGAGAAAATGAACCTCATCTTCCATAATCTGAAGCGTTTCGCGGAAAACTGCAAAAGGGGAAAGATCTATTTCTGAGTATTTGCAAATGCGGTATATTTTGCCTCTAGATTTCTACTGTCACTAGTATGGACTGTGAGCGTATATGATCTGATATATAGCAAAAGACGGATCGTTAAATGATGTCTTATTATTCGATTATATTTCGGTTGTTAATCATATTCCCAAAGCCGAATTGTCCAATGAAATGTGACGTTACAAAACAGACCGGTCAAGGTCGGATCTGATGAAAGTTCCCTAGACCATACTTCGCACATCATCAACAGCATGTTGTCTAACAGTATTTACCAACCACAGGTAAATAAGTGTTTTGATATTAGATTAAGAAATAAACCGTTCAAATGCCCTGTTTTTGTACAGAATTGATATTTGTGTCTTCATTCTAAACCAACTGGAAGGCTCTCTCATGTGGTTTCGTAACCATAAATTAACTCAGTAAAAGTGAACCAGAGATCACCCACATATCAACACAGCCTCTTTAATAGTGGATTTTGGAGACATCCTATCTTGAATTTCTTATCAGAGCCATTTAATTTATTGTTACAACCACGAAAATGTTCTTGATCAACCAAGATAACGAAGATTATGTAAACTCACCATTGAATCATATAAAGATAATTGCTTATTACTCAATAAATAAGGGTGCCCATCTATATCTGTATCTTTACAATCTTGAACCTTATCCTAAGTTCAAATTTGACACAACTTGTCTCTTGGTACTTCTTGGTTTCCTCATCACAAATACGTTTCTTTGTCTGTCACATTTTTGGTTTTCAGATGGAGAACCTATTTTTGAAATGAATTGAAATTTTAATGGAAGGTTTTAAACCACTAAAGACAGGTTCAGTTAGATTATTGTCGTATTAACTTTTACCATGCCAGAACTAGGAACCCTGAATGTTGGAAAAATAAACAATTTTGTGATTTCCAGATGATAATCATGATAATAGAAATACCTTTTTATACGACTGCAAAAAAATTTTGTGGTCGTATATAGGCCAGTTCCGGGATATGGTTTTCAGACGAATCTGTCGTTGACTTCCTTCACCACATGACAAAAATGTATGCATCGTCAGTTCCAACACATGTTGAGGAAATGGGTGAAAAAGTTTGATTTTATACTGCACAAAATATTTTGGAAATTAAAATCTAATAAGATTGTCACCCTCCCTCAGTCATCAGTGTTCCAGCTAGGATTTCAAAAGGGCAGGGAGCCAATCATGAAAAGGGCACTTTAGCACGATGATTGATATTTCAAAAAGGGCATGTCAAACATTGTCTTATGTTTACTGCAGGGGTTTCAGCTAGGAGTTTTGAGGGAATTTAGTCACTTTTGCGCTAGATGAAAATCAACCTTATTTTGGGTAACAGTATTAAAGGGACCATGCAAGGATGTATATTACGCAGCGGCGTTTTGTAGAATTATTTTTATTTCATTAGTGAAATGAATTGTGCATGTCAGTTAAAATACTACACTAGATCTGCAATACAGTCAGGAACAATATCTAACATTTTCTCCAGGGGCCAACCTTGATCCCAAAACTTTTTTCCAAGGGCCCAGTAGAAATTTTAAGGCCCTACCAGGGTATTTTTACTACAGGTATATACTTACTAATAGTCCATATACATGTAGCCCAGTGTTTCTGATTTTGATAGAAATAATAAATGAATTATAATAAACCACATTGAGATTTTCAGAATTAAAATACATTTTACCATGTCTTTTCAGACTGTTCAAACTTATATTTGTAATATTTATATATAACCCACCCCCCCCCCCCCCCCCCCCCTTTTTTTCCATTTTACACACCCTTAGATGTAGAGTATTAAAGTATTATCAGTTTCACCCCAAGAAACTATTCATTTTTAATGAAATAATCTTAGCAGTTAATCAAATTAAAATCTTACTGTCTATAAATAACAATGAAATGTAAATGTTTCTTGTTAAATGGTTTTCCAAATTTTCCCGCCAAAAAAGCACATGGCTTTCAACAAATGTAAACAAAGCAGTCAATTTGTGATCATGGATTACAGCTTTAATTAATTTAATTTGGATATAGATATTCAATGAAAGGTACATTCAAGCATTGTTTTTACTTTCTTCTGGATTAAAACTAGTTTAAAAGATCAATTAAAAAAAAATCTTTGACATAACAACAAACGATCTACAGATACATCAAACGCAAATTGTTATCTTTTGAGAAATATTGAAATTAAAATGCTGACTGACCGAATTTAATGAGAAAAATTATTACAATGGTAAATTATGAAGTTTAATTAACGGATAAATGACCCATCCGATGTCGATAAGCGGATTATCTGTAATCACAACTTATTACACCTGCTGTAAATGTTAATTAGCTGAGGGTCATAAACTTGTCATAAATATGAAGACAGGTAGAATAATTGTATTTTCATCAAAATATTACGGCAATAAAGGCATGGACTTACGAAAAGGGCAGGGCGTCAGAAAAAGGTCACAGGGCGGAACTCGGGAAAGGGCGGATGGACCGCCCTGTGAAAACGACCTAGCTGGAACCCTGGTCATACAGGAATGAAGATTACATACTTACGGAACATAGATTATTTCTATACTACCCTACAGAGTGACGATTATGAAAGTGCTGGAAACATTTAATAGAGCAGGGATACAGGCACGCCTTCTATCTGGTAAATGACGTCATAAAGGCGTGCGAAATTGAAGATCATTTCCGGTGAAAGACATGATTCAAGAAATGACACATTGGTATGACGTTGGCAGCGTCGTCGTCCGAGACACACTGGTTTTCGCACAATAACTTTAGTTTAAGTGAATGGATCTATATGAAATTTTACCATAAGGTTCAATACCACAAAAGGAAGGTTGAGATTGATTTTGGGGGTTATGGTACCAACAGTTAAGGAATTAGGGGCCAAAAATAAGCATTTTTGTAACTTCCAGACAATAACTTGTGTTTAAGTGTATGGATCTCTCTGAAATTATACGACAAGTTTCCATACCACAAAGGGATGGTTAGGATTGGCTTTGGGGGTTATGGCCCAAACCGTTTAGGAATTAGGGGCAAAAAAGGGGAAAAAACAAGGATTTCCTGGTTAATGGACAATTTAAAAGCAGTGCAAGGGAGGTAATCCAAAAACAAAATTGTACAATGTTGGATTACCTTCCTTACACTGCTTTTAAATTATCTATTTAAGACTTTTATGATGTATTTAAATTGGTAATTATGGTTGCAAACTCCATTGGAAATTTGAATTGAGATTATGACCATATCTTGATGGAAAGAATTTTTTTTTTGCAAAAAAAGGGGGGGGGGGGGGTTAAAAAAAAAATTGTTTTGTGGGAGGGGGTCAATTACGCAACAGCATAGTGTATTTCACAAAAGCAAAAAAAAAGGGGGGGGTAAATTTAATTTTTTTTGGTTGTTGTTAGGGGGGGTCAATTCGCAACAGCGTAGTGTATTGCACAAAAGCAAAAAAATGAATATAAATTCAAAATCATATAACCAATTCTAAGTTCTTTGACTACAGTTATTCGGTGTCAGAAACCTATAATGTGTCAAACATTTAATTACAATCCAAATTCAGACCTGTATCAAGCGCGAATATTGTGTCTATTTTCGACCCAACTGTTCAGGGTTGGACCTCTGAGGTCGTATCCAGCTGCGCTCGTATCCAGCTGCGCTCAGCGAAGCATTTTATTGAAATTAATTGAAATTTTGTGTAATATTATGAGCCTCTAAAGAAAGGTTAAGTTTCCCTTTTACCTTTCCAGAGTTGTGGTACTTGAAGGTTGGAATAATTCAAAATGTTTTGGTATACCTATGATAAAGGGAGAACCCTTTTTATGCCCCCGCTATAGCGGTGGGGGCATTAAGTTTTACCCTTGTCAGTCTGTACGTACAAACGTCCCAAAATTGGTTTCCGTTCTCTAACTTGAGTTTGCCTCAACCAAATGTTATGACACTTTTACACAATGCTTATTACCACAAAACACAGATCAAGTTTGAATTTTGGTGGCGTCACTTTAACTGTTCTAGAGTTATGCCTCTTTATAAATGGAAAAGTGCAAAATTTTACGTTTCCTTTCTCTAACTTATGTTTGCCTCAACCAAATGTTATGAAACTTATACACAATGCTTATTACCACAAAACACAGATCAAGTTTGAATTTTGGTGGCGTCACTTTAACCGTTCTTCAGTTATGTCCCTATATAACTATATGATATGCAAGCGGGGGCATCATCTGTGTCCACATGTGGATAGTGTGGACACTATCCACATTTATTTCCAATGATTTGAACTTTTAATGGAATGTTTTGGACCACTAAAGACATAAAAATACAAATTTCTTGTTCACTTATACCATTCAAGTGTTATGGTACTTGATTGCTGGAAAATTCAAAATTTGGTGGTTTCCAGGTTTTAAATGGAAAACCCCTTTCTGAAATTGTAATGGAAAGTTTTGGACCTAAGCATAGGTTAAGTGCGATTTTTCATTGTTTTCACTTTAACAATTACAGAGTTCCGTTCGAGTACTTGATTTTTTTGGGGTTTCCATATAATTCATTGGAATGTTTTGGACTGCTTTACAAAATAATGTGCTCTCAGTTGCTGACAGCAGGGGTGATGTAATCAATGGAACCCTCTAGTTTTCTATGAAATTCATCATTATTTATAAAATTTGAGGCAGTGATGGTATTAAAGAACAATCAATGAACATTTATTGTTTCAGGTTGTTGCTGCATTGTCACAGTTTTCTTCTTTATTGAGCTCTGCCAGATCAGGATCTAGTTCTGGTACCTACAGAAGAGTAAATACTCAAAGAACCAACAGAAAGACAAAACAAACAGCTAGTCAAGCAGCCAAAGAAACAGATGAAGTTAAAAAGGCAACAGAGGTATCATTAGTACACTCAGTCTAATTCAGACCATACATGTGACTGCAAAAGGAAGATTATTCTTATATTTTCAAACCTCTGGGTTTTCTTTTTTTTTGCCAGGTGGGAGAAGAGGCCTTATAGAGTACTTCATTTGTGTTATCAATTCCTGCTAAAATTTTCAACCCAAAACCTTCAAACATTTTGGTATGTTTCTTTTTTATACATTTTGTACATTGATGGTGAGCACCAGACCTAATTAAACATTTGAAGAATTTTTGCTAAATAAGGTTCTGATATAAAACAAATAAAGTCCCAGAAGTAAACAAATTAAAAAAATAAGAAGGTATTGTGTTTATTAAACTTTCAAACCAAATTGCAGAAGTTTGATTTAATAAAAATTTATTTTGCAGGAATATGAGATAGATATAAATGATGTTATATCACTGCCGTCACAGATCAACATTCAAGAGTTATCTCCCCACATGTCTTTGATTCATAAAGGTTGTCATGTGTCACATGTTTCAACTGACACATTTTTTGAAAACAAATCAGGTAAGCAAACTACTAGTATTAACATGATTAAAGTTAACATTTCATTTACCAAAATTATTTTTCTACTTTTAAACATATATGTGGTATAAGTCAGTATCCTATGATAATTTCAGTAGAAATTCCCTAATCATACCTTCTGGTTGACAAGCTTTTTCCAGATTTATTGCCCATGACAAAAATGCAAGATTAATTATTGTGATTTCAGGAGATGAGGCACAAAAATAATGCTTTATAAATTTGAAATGCAAGTTTTTATCTTTGCAAAACGTATCCCATTCCCATTGCAATTTTTGAAATAATAAAAACATTGCAAACATTTCTCAAGTTACAGTACTAGTTCTGGGTGACTAACTCATTGCCAAATTCAAGTTTTAATTTTGATTCTGGTGATCAACATTTGTTAGTCGTAGCTAACGTACAACTTTTGCTCTTTAAAGATTTTTTTGTGGAAATTGAATAATAATAATTTATCAGGACTTTTTTTTTTACAAATACACTATGAATTTCACAGTTTGATAATATTATGGACACTATAAACCCATGAACAAACCCAGTGTATGTCACTGATATACTTCACCTTTCATATGGACTATGAGTGACGCCCATTTAACAATGAGACTGCATATTTTATAGATGTGTTAGTATACAATGGTTTGCTATTGACTATTGTCAATCACATTGTAGACTTACTAAGAATAAACAGGAATGATAGGTCTGTATAAATATATGTGATATTCATGTTATTTCACAATGTTTGATTTTAATTTTAAAGTCTGGTGAGAGTAAGTTTTGACTTTCTTATATTAATTGCAGGGTTATCAGAAGAATTTGTAAACAGTGATGTCCATCAAGAAGTCCAAAGAGTTTTAAGAACAGAACCTTTTAGAAAACTTCTGAAAACATGTACAAATAATCTTTGTAAGATAATTTGAACAAGATATTTTTGGTTGGGTAGCATTGGTCACCTTTTCTGTCAGTAATTGAAATAACATGTTTCCCTTTGCAAATCTGGATTTTGTTCATTTTATATGAAATAATATTGGGTAACAGTTTTGTAAATTGTTGGTTTTCGGCTTATTAGAATTTTATGAAACAATATTGGGTAACAGTTTGTAAATTGTTGGTTTTTGGCTTATCAAAATTTTATAATACACTATTGGGTAACAGTTTTATAAATTGTTGGTTTCTGCTCATCAAAATTTTATGAAACAATATTGGGTAACAGTTTTGTTAATTGTTGGTTTTTGGCTCATCAAAATTTTATGAAACAATATTGGGTAACAGTTTTGTAAATTGTTGGTCTTGGCTCATCAAAATTTTATGAACCAGTATTGGGTAACAGTTTTGTAATTTGTTGGTTTTGGCTCATCAAAATTTTATAAAACAATATTGGGTAACAGTTTTGTAAATTGTTGGTTTTTGGCTCACCAATGCCAGAAAACCATAAAAAAATTAAATGAACACACTCAATCAATGTTCACATACAATTAAAGAAGCTACAAGCAACCAGGAAATAAAACTTATGAAAAAAAAAGAAGTTATTATCAAGTTTCACTTCTCTCTACTAGCATTGAGCATTCACTGTGGTTAATAGTTTAAAATAACAAATGAAAAGACAGAAAAAGCATAGAAATGTAATGCATAAAGAAAACAAACAGCATTCAACAATTATAAATTCTATGAAACTTTCATGGCAGCAATGAGCATAGAGTTTATCAAATGATAGACTTGTTGAGATTTATGTTTTGTTTTAGACATTATTGCTGTTTTATGTTGGAAATTATTGCTGCTTTGTGTTAGACATAAGTGTAATTTCTCTTGGTAGATTTATAATTAAATATTTCTTATTGTGTACACATTATACTTTTATCAAACCAAATGTATCTTAACAGATTATCAACAGACAAGAGGATTTAAAACACAGAGATTGAAATCTGTTGGAATTGGAGGACAGAAATCTGATTCTGAATTAAACAAAGTATGGATATATATCATGTAGCCTGTTTATTTTTGTTATACAAATTTTAAGTGGATACATAGATCTGTATATTTGATAAGTATGTTGCACAATGCAAGAATAATTCTTCAATTCTTAAAAAGGAGAACTGGAATTTAAAAAAAAACATTGTGAATTGTTTATGTCTATGCTGTAAAACTTGATCTTGACATTACATTTACATGCATTTCAATATTGAATTGTATTTTCACTTTTCTTACCTGTTCATTGATTGCTCGATACAAATGTTTATTTTGTCACATGGACTTTTTGTCACAGACTTGTCAGAAATGATCATTGTGAAATGAAGAATATATTAAGCAAGTTCATACCTGCAGATATTAAGAATTTAACATCAGAATATATCTTGATGCATTTGAAGGTGCAGCCAAGGATGCACAGATGTAATGGAGGGCAGAGTTCGCGAAAACTTATTTTGACCCGTCGGTCATGGGACCGACAAAGCATGATTATTTGTCAGTCCTACAAAATTTTAGCCAGTCCTACAAAATCTGTCAATTTTATCCTGAAAAAAAATTAATAACATATTTTATCGAAAAATAACTTTATTAATATTAGTTTTATTCTTCGCACCCACAGGCAAATTAACAATGAAGGACCAGTTCAGGTCTTCTGATTGTTCTTATTTAAAGTCATCTTCACTATCCATTTCATCATCTGAATCACTTTCTCGGCTGTTACAGTATTTGTTTGCTCCATTGTAGGGTTCAATCGCCGATTGTTTGCCAGGGATGGCTCTATGGACAAATTAAGTAGGCCACGTGTAGATCGCCGCTTTGGTTTGTTTATAATAAATCCGTAAACCAGTACCGGAAATTGGCAGCGGATACATCTGATAACCGATGTAAACACTTATTGGAAACAGTTGTGGTACATATAATAACCGATGTAAAAAAGTGCCGAAATATGCACTACAACGGCCGTTTTTACATCGGTCATTGGGACCGGCACTAGCCTTCAAAATACTGGTCCGAGCCTCATTTTGACCGACAGGACCGACCATTTTCGTGAACTCTGGGAGGGTGCTCAAATTTCATGAAAACAGAATTAACATCTGAACATTTGTTATGATTAAGCCATTGTTCCTAAGGAGGGGGTATACTGGTTTACCTCTGTCAGAGCTTCATTCCACCTGTCTGTCCAATGAAACTTTCGTCACATATTCCTCAAACTACACACATCCATTTTGCATCAAATTCTTGTTACAGAATACTTTGTTTATAACTTCAAAATCAGTTTAGAATTTATACATTACTGTTAGCAGTATTGATTATTTTTGTTTATCAAGTTAGTAGGGGATACAGAGAAGTCAAGAATATCATAGGCCAAAAACAATGTATTTGGTATTGTAATGTTGTTTAAGGAACAAGAAATAAGACGATTATACATTACATAATAAATCGTCACTGAAAATGTAGTAAAATTTGGCACAATGTTAATTCACCCTCAATTTTGTTAGAGGAAATCATACTCTTGAAAACTTGCAGCCAATTTAGCAGATGACAATATTAATGGTACCAAGTTTTTTATGCCACCACCGTAGTGGAGGGGGCATTAAGTTTTACCCTATGTATGTCCCAAAATTGGTTTCTGTTCTCTAACTTTAGTTTGCCTCAACCAAATGTTATGAAACTTATACACAATGCTTACTACCACAAAACACAGATCAAGTTTGAATTTTGGTGGCGTCACTTTAACCTTTCTACAGTTATGCCACTTTACAAATGGAAAAATTACTGAATTTGTTTCCGTTCTCTAACTTTAGTTGGCCTCAACCGAATGTTATGAAACTTATACACAATGCTTATTACCACAAAACACGGATGGAGTTTGAATTTGGGTAGCGTCACTTTTACCATTCTAGAGTTATGCCCCTTTACAAATGGAAAAATTGCTGAATTTTTCGTTTCCTTTAACTTTAGTTTGCCTCAGACCAATGTTATGAAACTCATGTACAATGCTTATTACCACAAAACACAGATCAATTTTGAATTTTGGTGGCCTCACTTTTACTGTTCTAGAGTTATGCCCCTTTACAAATGGAAAAATTGCTTAATTTTTCGTTTTTGTTCTCTAACTTAAGTTTGCATCAACCAAATGTGATGAAACTTATACCCTATGCTTATTACCACAAAACACAGATCAAGTACAAATTTAAGTAGTGTCACTTTGACCGTTCTTGAGTTATGTCCCTTTATAACATTATATGCAAGCAGGTGCATCATCTGTGTCCCATGGACACATTCCCCATTTATGTAAAAAAATTCAAAACTTGGTGTCAACCCTACAGTTAACAAGTGTATTATATCCTTTAACCAAATGGAAGGGGACAGTCTGTGCCAAAAACTTTTTGAGGCACTAGCCCATAGGGCTAGTTGAATAAAAAAAACACTAGCCCGAATTGATGATTACTAGACCTGAAAAATTTATGTCAATTTTGGAAAATTAGACGTAAAATCCTGCATTCTGAGGTTACATTTCTGTATCTGGAAGTGAACATAACTTCAGGTAAATTGAAAAATTCTCACTTTCTCCAATAAAAAATTGATATAGTTCTTTTGCCAAAAAAAAAAAAAATCATTTTTCTATAAAGTTGTACCATTTCAAGTAAAAAGACTCGGCGAAAAAAATCCACATTTTTAGCACTAGAAAATAATATTCTCTGACACTTCTTTGGGATCAGGAGGCTATTGGGCGGGTGTCGTCATTTCTGTATTCTTTAATTTCTAATGCCATTTTTCTCCATTCTTTATATTTTAATACCTCATTTTTCTCTATTCTTTTATTTTTTGGTCCATTTTTCTCTAAAAAAAATATTTTTTTATGTTTATGCCCATTATTCTCTATTCTGTTAACCACCATCACCACCCTCCTTCATTGTCACTCTCTTTAATTTTGTTAAAAATGCCTAGATCGTTTTTCTGCATACTATGTTTTTTTTAACTCGAAACTTCTACAGTTATTCGTGTAGGCATTTTCAACTTCTGAATGTTTTACCTGGGATAGCCCCCTGTTTCCATTTCATCATCGAATGAGATCGAATCCTTGATTGTTTGTTTACATTGAGTAGTATTTATAGATTGTGTTTATTGCAAGCACATGGTCGAGCCTCGTTCTCGATTTCGTTGGTAATTAGGTATATCGTGTTGTTGACTGGTTCCCTTTGATTAGAAGGGAAAAAACGTATATGATAAAATAGGGATACCAGTAAATGGATGAAAACAAGGTCGGCAACAAATTTGTAACTTGTTCTCATATATTCAATAAAATACCGGGTACAATTTCGCAAATGATTTCAGATGTTCGCACAAGTCTGGTGAGATTTTTACTTGACAGGGGCTTCAGGCTACTGCTTAACGTCGCAGACTGGGTGGATATATTTTGTCAGATTTGAGTAAATTTTCAATGAAGGTTTCTTATGTAATGTTTTGTTCTCTTACTTCTTGTTCATTCTTCCTTAAACAACATTACCACACACATTGTTTTTATCAAATTACATGAGCATTCATCAGTCTGATAATCTTTATTAAAAAAATTTATTTATAGTTTGTTTTAATTTCTTTGTAGTTTGTAAATATATTGTTTCAAGATAAAACTAGTGGACAAAAACCTGTTGAAGGGGAAAAATTTAAAGCAATGTTACAAAAACATGCAGGGGACCATGCAACACAACAAGAATTAAAAATATCTTTTGCTGATGGCTATCTTGCAAGGGATCCTTCACACAAGAAGCATTATTTTGATAATGTAATACAAGGACTATTGAAGTCAGCTGTCTATCTGTTCTGTTTGTATGTCATACTCAAACTGGTTGCCAGCAATTTAATGGGTAGAGGTAGGTGAAGACAAATTATTGATATATATATTCATTCACATTGATTGCAAAAAATCCTTGTGAGACTTACATTCACAAATTGTGATTAAACTTACAAAAAAAAACAGTTTTCTTTTAATTTTTATCTTTCTTTTCCATTTTATTATGAAATAAGATAGGTGACATGCAGCAAATTTTGAAGGGGTAAACAATTCCACTGTCAATCTATCACTTCCTTATCAGTGGTAGGTGTAAAATAGTCTCAAGTTTTCCATCCAAATTTCATTAATTTTTACTGATTAACCATTTGGAGAGCATATATAGTGTTACGTTAGTAAATCAAATGGCAAGTGATCAGATTTAAATTCATAGAAGGTTAAAGCTTGTAATGACTAAGGCTCAACTTTTATTTAAAATTTTGTAAATTGTTTTCAAAGGTATTTCATTTAAGACAACCAAATTAATGTGGTGAGTTTTTTTTTAGGTAAATTGTCCATCAATTGTGTGAAAAGGAATTGTTAGTTTATTTCATTATTTTGATCTGAGTATTGTGTCAGACCTAGTTATAAAACCCAAGCAGTCATTGAATGATTGCATGAAAGATTATAAAAACTACTTTTAACTGTTGTAGGTTCTGGAGTAGGTGGACTTAGTATTCTGAAACAGGAACCATTTGAAATAGCACCTGAAGATGTACAAGTTACCTTTGATGATGTAAAAGGGGTAGGTTTTGTAGCTCATCAACATTTTACAGCTTGTTTTGTGTTATAAATTTGAATGTAATAAAATGAATTATATCCCACTCTTAGAAGTGATGGCTATATTGCAATAACCTTGTCCATCTGTTTGCCAGTTCATTTGTTTAACCAACAAATAGTATAGTCACACTTTTCTTAGAAACTTCTTACCAGTTTGACTTCAAATTTTGTCAGCAGCTTGATAGTCACTTACTTCCTGTTTTCAGATACTTGAAATGACAAGTGGTGTTATGCTTAATAGGAAAACATGTATATTTCTTTTGATACAATACTATTAATTTAAATATTTTGGTTGTAGTCATATTTTGGTGTATTTTGCATGATGATGAAAGTAGTACTGAAAATTGAAATGCAAGTTATATAAGAATTATCAGATTGTAACAAAACAATCTTAATTTCTGTATAGTGAGGTCTGCAAAATGAAATTTTGATCCATTAGTCCATTATTGATGGAACATTGAGATATATAGTGTAAGTTATACACGTAAAAGTATTACATTTCTTTATATTTGGGCAATCCCAAACTTTCTTTATTAGTAGAAGGCATCATCATTTAATGGCTGTTCTTTAATAAGAATGGAAAAGAAAGGATATGTTTTTTTTCCTAAAGTTGGCTTAATATTCAAGCCAATCAGCTAAACTTATACGTAACAGCAAAGTGAAGGAGAGGCAGAAGATACCGAAGAGAAAGTCAAACTCTTTTAAGGAGAGGCAGAAGATACCGAAGAGAAAGTCAAACTCTTTTAAGGAGAGGCAGAAGATACCGAAGAGAAAGTCAAACTCTTTTAAGGAGAGGCAGAAGAGAAAGTCAAACTCTTTTAAGGAGAGGCAGAAGATACCGAAGAGAAAGTCAAACTCTTTTAAGGAGAGGCAGAAGATACTGAAGAGAAAGTCAAACTCTTTTAAGTCAAATACAAACTGATTATGCCATGGCAAAAAATGAACTGATTTATAGAACTAAAAAAGTAAAAATGTAGACAGCTGTTACATATGTTGAAAATTTGATCTTAATTTAAAATTACATAATGTCAATTGTAGATTGATACAGCTAAAGATGAGTTGATGGAGGTTGTTGATTTTCTTAAAGATCCGGATAAATATACAGTATTGGGAGCCAAACTCCCAAAAGGTATGTAAACACTGAACTTTACACTGCATAAGTGGTCATATTCAACAAAGGTATGTCAACCCTGAACTACACACGACATCAGTAGTCATACTCACCAAGGTAACTCTACACATCATCAGTGGTAAAAGTCATCAAAGGTATGTCAACCCTGAACTACACACATGACATCAGTAGTCATACTCACCAAGGTAACTGTACACATCATCAGTGGTAAAAGTCATCAAAGGTATGTCAACCCTGAACTACACACATGACATCAGTAGTCATACTCACCAAGGTAACTGTACACATCATCAGTGGTAAAAGTCATCAAAGGTATGTCAACCCTGAACTACACACATGACATCAGTAGTCATACTCACCAAGGTAACTGTACACATCATCAGTGGTAAAAGTCATCAAAGGTATGTCAACCCTGAACTACACATGACATCAGTGGTCATACTCACCAAGGTAACTGTACACATCATCAGTGGTAAAAGTCATCAAAGGTATGTCAACCCTGAACTACACATGATATCAGTGGTCATACTCACCAAGGTAACTGTACACATCATCAGTGGTATGTCAACAAAGAAATGTACAAAGCATCAAGGGTCATACTCTTTGAAGGTATATTAAGAAACTCCTTAAATGCATGTTTAGACGGAAATTTTCACATCAGAGGGCAAACTCAAAGATGTGTAAACATTGTAGTGCACACATCTTCTGGAGTTTAACTAACAGAATTTATTTCTTTACAGAAATGAACACAACATAAAGGGCTAAACTCCTTTTAAGGTTTTAAAACAGTGAAATATGATAACACAGCATCCAAGGTCAAATTCCAATATAAACTGAGATGAGATGTGAGAAATTATTGTTTCTCCCTATTAATACCTTACAGATTGCATGCTATTTAACTCACTTATTATAATTCAATCTGTCCCACAGAAAATTATTGCTCACGATAAAATTCAAGAAATATTTTTTTGTTTATTAAAACAATAGATTGGTTTAACTTTACCCTGAATGGTATTTTATAATTACATTTACAGGTGTATTATTGGTAGGACCACCAGGTATTGGTAAAACTTTGTTAGCCAGAGCAGTAGCAGGTTTGTAATCTGACATCTCTGTAATAGGTATATCATATACTCAGGAAAAATGACATTATACCCCACTCGAAGGGTGTGGGCTATATTGCATTCACCTTGTCTGTTTGTCCACTCATATTTATGTCGTCAAATATTTTTGTCTCACTTTTCTCTAGTACTACTGAACAGAATGACATCTTATTTGGTCAGCAGCTTGAATGGATGGATTGTAAAGTGTATGCACTTTTCCGATCTGTCAGACACCTTCATGTTTGCAGATACTTGAACCTAGAAATTTTTGTCATTTTTAATACGACCGCAAAAATTTGCAGCCATTAAATCATCATCATTGTTCGAAAGACATTTGTTTTCCAGATAATAACTTGAGTATAAGTGTATGGATCTCTATGAAATTGTACCATAAGGTTCAATACTACAAAAGGAAGGTTGGGATTGATTTTCTTCTACTTTGAAGAATGAGTAATTGTATGCTTAGTACGACAATATGTTGTATTCAATAAAAATGATACAAACACAAGAATATTTTTGGGAAAGAAATGTATCTGGCAAATAAACAACATCATCTAACTACAACAGATACTGTAATTGTTTATCATCTGATCATTTCTTTTTAAATTTCCCTCTAATTCTAAGGTGAAATCACCTGAAGCAATTTATTTCACCTTAACCATACTGATGTCATTGCCTAGTATTTTGTTAGAATAGCTATGGACTAGATGTAAGAAAATTGGTATTAAATAATATGTGAGGTGAAAAATGTATTTTGTGCTGTGAGTTACCTATGAATATTACTTTATATTTTATACAGGTGAAGCTGGAGTGCCATTCTTTCAGTGCTCTGGATCTGAATTTGATGAAATGTTTGTTGGTCTGGGTGCAAAAAGAATAAGAGATTTGTTCAGTGAGTATTGTCTTTTGTTAAAATAAAAATAAGAAGATGTGGTATGATTGCCAATGAGACAACTCTTTACCTTAGACCAAATGACGTAGAAGTTGAGAACTATAGGTCACCATACTGCCTTCAACAATGAGCAAAATACATACCTCATATTAAGCTATAAATGGCCTTGAAGCATTGTGGTTTTTATGCCCATACCGTAGCGAGGGGGCATTAAGTTTTACCCTTGTCAGTCTGTCTGTACGTACGTACCTCCCAAAATTGGTTTCTGTTCTCTCAACTTTAGTTTGCCTCAACCAAATGTTATGAAACTTATACACAATGCTTATTGACACATAACACAGATCAAGTTTGAATTTGGTGAAAGACACTTTTACCATTCTACAGTTATGCCACTTTACAAATGGAAGAATTGCTGAATTTTTCGTTTCCGTTTTCTAACCAAAAAATATGAAAATTATACACAATGCTTGTTACCACATAACATAGATCAAGTTTGAATGTTGGTGGCGACGCTTTTACTGTTCTAAAGTTATGCCCCTTTACAAATGGAAAAATTGCTGAATTTTTTGTTTCCGTTTTCAAACTTTAGTTTGCCTCAACCAAATGTTATGAAACTTATGCACAATGCTTATAACAACAAAACACAGATCGGAGTTATGCCCCTTTACAAATGGAAAAATTGCTGAATTTTTGGTTTTTGCCTCCAAATTAAGTTTGCCTCAAGCAAATGTTATAAAAAAACTCATACTTAATGCTTATTACCACAAAACTCTGATCAAGTACAAATTTGGGTAGCGTCACTTTTACAGTTCTTGAGTTATGTCCCTTTATAACATTATATGCAAGAGGGTGCATCATCTGTGTCCCATGGACACATTCCCCATTTATTTTTCCTTTTTTTTTTTTAATATTTACTTCATCTCAGCTTTATTCATATTGTATAAATTTATTATGTATGATGTTTGAAAACATGCATATTTGATCTCTTACTGCCTTTTAAATCAGTCCATTTTCATTCAAAGTGGTATACTATTTGATTACTACAGCATAATGCGTTGTCCGTAGAGTTATAAAGCTACTATGGTACAAGTGAGCGCTATTTTTTTTTATGCATTTTAAAGGGACTTTAATCACAATAGATGTAAGACAAGTGCCAATTTAAAATTGTGAAGATAAAGGTAAACTTATAAATGAAGCTCCTGATGAAGCATTATAGGTTTGGATGTTATTGACATATACAAACTACTTAAAATCCTTGTTAGTTACTATTTGAAATAATATCAATGCAAACAAACTTTACTCATAAAATGTTCATTTATATAGTGAGAATAAGATAGACAATAACCAGTTTTCTTTAAAAATATGTAAAAAGGGTGTCCTTGCATTGAACCTATGTAACGTTCAAAGCTTCAATATACCTTTTTGTCTCGCCTTGACGGAGTAAAAAATCGAGACTTGGGTAAGCTGTTTCCGTCGGTATTGGTGGCCACGTCAACAATGTATTGTTTGTGATTAGGTCAGTTTATGGGGAAGTAGTAGTGGTAGGTCAATGGTATTTTGTATGCAGTTGTATTAGAATTGCCACATCTCATTTCCATGCAGTTTATTTGGCTCTGCCCCCTCAGTCATGGTCAACTGGCTTTGAAACTTTTGCTACGTTTACATGTATTAGTTTGTGATTAGGTCTGTTTAAGTGGGACCACTAGTAGAAGTTCAAGGGTATTAGATATGTAGATGCATTAGCATTGGCACATCTCAGTTCCGTGGAAATTATTTGGCTCTGCATCCTCATTCATGGTCTATTGAGTTTGAATGTTTTGCATAGTTTACATGTGAAAGTTTGTGATAAGTTCAGTTTAAGAGGAACCACTAATGTTAATTCAATGATATTCGGTATGCAGTTGAATTAACATTTGCTAGTCTCTTGTCCATGGAGATTATATGCCCCATCTCCTCATCATAGTTCATTGACTTTGAAACTTTTACATTTTACCACTTAGGATAAGTCAATGGTATTTGGTATGCAGTTTTATAAGCATTGGCATTTCTCAAATCCATAAAGGTTATTTGTTCCTGCACATTAAGCCTTGGTTCATTGACTTTGAATGTTTTGCATAGTTTACATGTTAAGATGTTGACATTTGGATTCAATATTTGCATTTTACTACCAAAATTACAAAAAGGCGAGACACATATCTCTGTGTCAACAGTTCATTACAAAATAATGATTGAAATGTATCAGGCTGATCTTTATTTCTACAGAGTCAGTGTAAACTGCAATATATTATAAACACTACAATATTTTTGAACTTAATACTATTTGTAGGACAAGCCAAGGAAAAGGGAACCTGTGTGATATTTATTGATGAAATAGATAGTGTAGGTGCTAAAAGAACAAGTTCAGAGTTACATCCATATGCTAATCAAACTATTAACCAGCTCCTGGCTGAGATGGATGGGTAAGTATTAAAAGAACAAGTTCAGAGTTACATCCATATGCTAATCAGACTATTAACCAGCTAATGGCTGAAATAGATGGGTAAGTATTAAAAGAACAAGTTCTGAGTTACATCCATATGCTAATCAGACTATTAACCAGCTCCTGGCTGAGATGGATGGGTAAATATTAAAAGAACAAGTTCAGAGTTACATCCATATGCTAATCAGACTATTAACCAGCTAATGGCTGAAATAGATGGGTAAAGTACATCCATATGCTAATCAGACTATTAACCAGCTCCTGGCTGAGATGGATGGGTAAGTATTAAAAGAACAAGTTCAGAGTTACATCCATTTGCTAATCAGACAATTAACCAGCTCCTGGCTGAGATGAATGGGTAAGTACTGAAAAAAAGATGCAGTAGATATCAAAACAACAAAAAGACAAGTTTATAAAACACCAAGAGACTGACAAAATCATGGGGAAAAACAACAAAAACACAAGTCTACAAAACACCAAGAGACTGACAAAATCATGGGGAAAAACAACAAAAACACAAGTCTACAAAACACCAAGAGACTGACAAAATCATGGGGAAAAACAACAAAAAGTCAAGTTTACAAAACACCAAGAGACTGACAAAATCATGGGGAAAACAACAAAAACACAAGCCTACCAAACACCAAGAGACTGACGAAATCATGGGGAAAAACAACAAAAACACAAGTCTACAAAACACCAAGTGACTGACAAAATCATGGGGAAAAACAACAAAAACACAAGTTTACAAAACACCAAGAGACTGACAAAATCATGGGGAAAACAACAAAAACACAAGCCTACCAAACACCAAGAGACTGACGAAATCATGGGGAAAAACAACAAAAACACAAGTCTACAAAACACCAAGTGACTGACAAAATCATGGGGAAAAACAACAAAAACACAAGTTTACAAAACACCAAGAGACTGACAAAATCATGGGGAAAACAACAAAAACACAAGCCTACCAAACACCAAGAGACTGACGAAATCATGGGGAAAAACAACAAAAACACAAGTCTACAAAACACCAAGAAACTGACAAAATCATGGGGAAAAACAACAAAAACACAAGTCTACAAAACACCAAGAGACTGACAAAATCATGGGGAAAAACAACAAAAAGACAAGTTTACAAAACACCAAGAGACTGACAAAATCATGGGAAAAACAACAAAAACACAAGCCTACCAAACACCAAGAGACTGATGAAATCATGGGGAAAAACAACAAAAAAACAAGTCTACAAAACACCAAGAGACTGACAAAATCATGGGGAAAAACAACAAAAACACAAGTTTACAAAACACCAAGAGACTGACAAAATCATGGAGAAAACAACAAAAACACAAGCCTACCAAACACCAAGAGACTGATGAAATCATGGGGAAAACAACAAAAACACAAGCCTACCAAACACCAAGAGACTGACGAAATCATGGGGAATCACAACAAAAACACAAGCCTACCAAACACCAAGAGACTGACAAAATCATGGGGAAAAACAACAAAAACACAAGCCTACCAAAGACCAAGAGACTGACGAAATCATGGGGAAAACAACAAAAACACAAGCCTACCAAACACCAAGAGACTGACGAAATCATGGGGAAAAACAAAAACACAAGCCTACCAAACACCAAGAGACTGATGAAATCATGGGGAAAACAACAAAAACACAAGCCTACCAAACACCAAGAGACTGACGAAATCATGGGGAAAAACAAAAACACAAGCCTACCAAACACCAAGAGACTGATGAAATCATGGGGAAAACAACAAAAACACAAGCCTACCAAACACCAAGAGACTGACAAAATCATGGGGAAAAACAACAAAAGACAACAGTCTACAAAACATCACATAAATACAAACGACTGAGCAGCACAAACACCACCAACAACTAAGGATGATCTCAGTAGTCCCAGAAGGCTTAGCTGATCCTTTTCTAAATGTTGCACCCATCAGGTTACTCCTATAAAATATGTTTAAAAGTATTATCAAATGATTAGGCATCACTCAATAGCAGGTTGGTGATTAACTCTAACTATAAGACATCACCATATTTGTAAACACTCAGTCATGTAAATATTCTAACCCTAAAACTTGACTGAATGAGAAATTTTGAAATTAAAACACATTTTTAAAGTATTGGAAATTAAACTATAGGAGGATGTTGGATAAATATGAAAATATTGTGTGTTGTTTTCTTAATTGTTTAATAATTATTCTTTTTATCCAGGTTTTCCCAGAATGAAAATATCATAGTATTGGGAGCAACAAATAGAATTGATCATCTTGACAAGTAAGGATTTATTGTGTAATGAAAGATATGAATTATTTAGAGCCTTTAAACCTGTGTTTTTTTAATTCAGTTTTGAAATTTTAATATCCAAATATACCAATATTAACTAGGAACCAAAATGGCTATCCAGTTTTAATTTTGTGTTATTTTCAAGTTGCTGTAATTCAAGTTATCTGTTAAAATATATAGTTTATAAAAAAAAAGTTCCCAAAGTATTATGGAGAACAATGGTGTACATGGGATCATGGATTTTACAATTTGTTTACAGGGCATTACGGAGAAAGGGCAGATTTGATGTTGAAGTAAGAGTTTTTCCTCCAGATTTGAAAGGAAGAAAAGATATCTTAAATCTGTACCTTGGCAAAGTTAAAGCTGACAAAAGTAAGAACAAATTACTCAATTTGCTGTTTTTTCAATAAATGATTTTTTTTCAAATAGAATGCTATTCAAATGAGGACTTTCATCAAGAGAGCAACCACTTACCTCTTACTGGAAAGCAAACAACCTTTCTACACATTTTCATTATATTCACTCATTTTAGAATTAGTAGTAGATGTCAAAGTTCATGTGAAGATTGAAAGATAGTATCTTTAGTATAATAACCTTTTTTTTTCTCAAAAAACAAAAGCATATTAGTTATAAGAAATGTAGATCTTCAAAGGCTGTCTTTAACAGTCTAGGTAGCTTTATAATGACTATTTGATATCTTCAATTAAATCATGATTTTTATTTCAGTAATTTACATTATTTATTTATCAAGTTTCAGCATTTTATTTTGTATGCCTATCTTTCATAGAAATTCAATGTTTGGTCAACCCACCTTTTCTGCTATGAGTTTTTAAACTGAACCTTTTATAGCCTTTTTAAAGTCAGAGATATTTTATAAAATTCCACGAAGTATCTCAGTCTTACAGTTAAAGTTAGCTCTTACACTGAATTGCCCAATTCTAGCACCCTCCACTTTCATTTTCAAGCTGGAGCACTGCAACAGTATACAGGATATTATTAAACTTGAACATACAATGTCTATCTCTTTTGTTAAACACATAGAAACCAGCCGTATGGAATGGGAAGTGGCTCTTTGTTTTAGGTTGTACAATTTTAATTAACCTAATCTTCTTGCTCAACAATCTTTGGTGGTAACGTAATCTTCTTGCTTAACTACTGTAAATTCAGAAATTATTGCGAGGTTTTTATTAATGCGAATAATGCGACTGGGTGACTATCGCAATAATAAGAACTCGCATTTTGATATCTGTTATATATATCTGTATGCAGATTTTCATGATATCGCAATAATTAATCTCGCATTTTTGTCCATTTTTGAAAAATCGCAATAATAAATGCACGCAATAATTTCTGAATTTACAGTATCTTTGATGGTTAGTTGTCTTATTGACCATTGATTCACATCTTCGGACTATTATACAGTTCATTCTTGCTACCAAGAATATGAAATTTTTACAGTGATTTTTATATGGTATCGCAATATGCCTTAAAAATTACATTTATAATCGTCAAATTTTCCACAGCCTTTTTACAGATTTTAAATAAAACTTGCTTGTAAGAACCATGTATATACATGTGTAAGCAGCATTTTTTTTTTAGAAAAGTGACTATTTTTATACGCCCGTTTACGGGACGTATTATGGTATACCGTTGTCCGTCCGTCCGTCTGTCCGTCGTCAACATGTCGGACATTAACTCAAAAATGCTTTAACCAATTTGCATAAAACTTTGATGAATTGTTTATATCTATTGACGTGAGCTCCCTTTCATTTTTTATAAAATTTAGATTTTACGTTTCCGAGTTATGGGGTTTTATTCATTAAAAAAAGGGGGATTTTCCAGTTTTTGGACAATAATTCAAGAATGCTTTCACCAACTTGCAAGAAATTGTGGTGAATTGTTTATATCTATTGACATGAGCTCCCTTTCAATTTTTATAAATTTTAGATTTTATGTTTTCGAGTTACAGGGTTTTATTCATGAAAAAAGGGGGGATTTTCCAGTTTTCGGACAAAAACTCAAAATGCTTTCAGCAATTCTTATGAAACTTTGGTGAATTGTTTGTATGTATTGATGTAAGCTCCCTTTAGAATTTTATAAATTTTACATTTTACATTTCTGAGTTATGGGGTTTTATTCATTAAAAAAGGGGTGATTTTCCAGTTATGGGGTTTTATTCATTAAAAAAGGGGTGATTTTCCAGTTTCGGACAATAACTCAAAAATGCTGTCACCAATTCTCATGAAACTTTGGTGAATTGTTTATATCTATTGATGTAAGCTCCCTTTTTATTTTCATAAATTTCTAATATGACATTGAGAATTAATTGAACTTTATTTGTTTATAGTCTGACAACAGATTTACTAAGTATTGCACAACAGCAAGAAATCTTTAATTGAATATAAATTCAATTCATATAACCAATTTCAAGATCTTTGACTACATTTATTCAGAAACCTATAATATGTCAAATATTTAATTACAATCCAAATTCGGACCTGAATCAAGCTTGAATATTGTACGTGTCCATTTTTGCCCCAACTGTTCAGGGTTGGACCTCTGCGGGCGTATCTAGCTGCGCTCAGCGAAGCAGTTTATTTTAATATTTTTTCAGATATTAAAGTTGAAGATATAGCCAAGGGAACAACAGGTTTTAATGGTAAGGAATATATAGTTAGATAGGAATGCTAATAAAGATTGTTATGTTATTTAGATTTATTTTCATACTATACAGTATTACAGTTATGCTGTATAGCTTTGGTTAAATGTATGTTGTAAAAGTGTTCCATTAAAGGAAATTTATATATAATCATTCAGAAAATCAACATCAGGTTGAATTATTGACCTCTTTTATATATGTGATTTTAAGCCTCTCTGGGATATATTTTTTTAACTCTTAAATGTTTTATAGATGGAAACAGTATATTTATGATTTATGAGATGGAAACAGTATATTTATGTTTTATAAGATGGAGATAGTATATTATAATTTATGAAATGGAGATATTTATGAATATTCTTCAGGTGCTGACATACAAGATTTGGTAAACCAAGCTGCTTTAAAAGCAGCCATGGAGGGAGAAGACTTAGTTAGAGAAAAACACTTATACTGGGCCAGGGATAAAGTTTTAATGGGTAGGTTTATTATCTGCATCTTTTCAGGTATAAAGTTAGATAAAAGAAGATAATGCTAAGGGAATAGCAGGTATGGTAATTTTATTTTTTACTGTGACAAAGTAGAAAAAGCAACCTTGGGCATGCTGTTTCCTGTGTCGGCTACATCATGTATGAGTTTGTGATTAGGTCCAGTTTATGGCAAACCACTTGTATTAGGTGAATGATATTTGGTATACAGTTGTATGAGCATTGGCACATCTTATTTCCATGGAGATTACTCGGCTTCTCCCCATTCATCATGGTATTTTGACCCTGTAACTTTTGCTTAGTTTACATGTATGACTAGGTCAGTTTATGGGGAACAACTAGTGGTATGCAGTTAGCATTGGCACATCTCATTTCCATTGTGATTATTTGACCCCATCCTCTCAGTCATGGTTTATTGACTTTGAAACTTTTGATTATTTGATTAATCTAAAACATGATTTGTTTTTGATTAGGTCAGTTTATGGTGAACCACTACTGATATGTCACTGATATTTGGTAAGCAGTTGTATGAGCATTGGCACATTTCATATCCATTGAGAGATTTTTTGGCCCAGGCCCCTTCATCATGGTTCATTAACTTTGAAACTTTTTTATAGTTTACATGTTAAAGTTTGTGATCAGATCAGTTTTAGATAAGTCAATGATATATGGTATGCTGTTGTATAAGCATTTGCAAGTCTCATTTCCATGGAGATGATATTAGCCTGCCAAATCATCATGGTTCATTGACTTTGAAAACTTTTGTATAGTTTACATGTTAAAGTTTGTGTTTAGCTTAGTTTTGCCCTGCCCCTTTCAATCATGGTTAATTGACTTTGAATGTTTTACATAGTTTACATGTTTAAATATTGCCATTTTAATTTCAACGTTTGCATAAATCTATAAAAATTTCAAATAGCGAGGCATATCTCTGCATCAACAGTTTATGTATAGATATTTTTGTAGGGATCTACAGATAACCTGTATGAAGTGTATATGAATTAATTGCTCTACAAGATACTGTGTTCCTAAATGAAAGAAAATGCATACAAAATAAGTAAAAAAAAGTAAGAACTGTTCCATTAAAACATACATGGTACATAGAGAAAGCACTTTGAAAATGGTTTATTTACCTATAGAGGACATTTTAGAATTTCACTTACTTTTTCACTGTACAAAATAAATTATGATACCCAGCCCTAGATGAGAATTAAAAGTGTCTTCTCTTGGTCCAACATATGTTTTAAAGAACATCCCTTATTTATTCTAGAAGTAATTGCTTACACAAAAAAAAAAACTACTCATGGCTTTTAAAATAACCTTGTATGCTCAAAAGAAAATGAAAAAATCAGACCCCAAAATACCCTCCCTTCAAAATTTGTAAAACCCCAAATTAGAAAAATCATTTCTTTTGTTGAATGTTTCAGGTCCTGAAAACAAAAATAAGATACCAGATGAAAATACAAACTGGAACACAGCTTACCATGAGGCAGGGCATACCATAGTGGCATATTTTACTAAAGAAGCCACAGCCCTTCACCAAGTAACAATCAGAGCCAGAGGTGTTTCTCTTGGTCATGTAAGTACACACTTCTACACCAAAAAACTCAGGGCCAGAGGTGTTGCTCTATGTCATTTAAGACCCATTTTAAGAGTTTAAAAAGAAATAAGATGATTCTTCCGCCAAAATATTGTGCATAACTTTCTTATCAGAATATATATTTAATTCACACAGGCTTTAACTTGTAAAAAATATTTTGATAATTTAACATGAACAAAATATCTCTTTTTAGCTCACCTGGCCCTTTAAGTGAGCTGTTCTCATCACTTGTGTCCGTTGTCTATAATCTGTTGTCGTCGTTACTTTTACAAAAATCTTCTCTGAAACTACTAGGCCAAATGTAACCAAACTTGGCTACAATCATCATTTGGGTATTTAGTTTTAAAAATGTGTCTGATGACTCCAACTGCCAACCAACATGGCCGTCATGGCTAAAAATAGGGGGGTGAAATGCAAATTTTGTTTATTATCTTATAAAACGCTATAGAAAGAGAAAATCTGTTGGAAACTAAAATGGCAGAGGACAACAAACGTCACTTGATGGTAGACCATGTGATGCTCAACGCTAAAGCATACATGTGAGACAGTGGTCAAGTCACAACTGGAGATTTGAAAATTTTCAGCTGGATTTTGGGCCTCGTAACTGGAGATTTTTTTCGACATATTTATTGCCGTTTCCAGTGTTCATTTTGATGATAAAGCTACATATTTCCCCTTTTTTTATACGACCACAAATAATTTTGCGGTTATATATTGGTATCACGTCGTTGTCGTCGTCAGCGTCGTCCGAAGACATTTGTTTCTGGACAATAACTTTAGTAAATATAAATAGAAATCTATGAAATTTAAACACAAGGTTTATAACCACAAAAGGAAGGTTGGGATTGATTTTGGAGGTTATGGTCCCAACAGTTAAGCCATTAGGGGCCAAAAAGGGGCCAAAATAAGCATTTTTCTGGTTTCCAGACAATAACTTGTGGAACGGTGTATGGATCTCTCTTAAATTATACCACAAGTTTCCATACCACAAAGGGATGGTTAGGATTGGCTTTGGGGTGTTATGGCTCAAACCGTTTAGGAATTTGTGGCAAAAAAGTGAGAGAAAAACAAGGGTGTCCTGGTTAATGGACAATTACTTAAGTACAATGTTGTGTTTGAATTACCTCCCTTACACTGCTTTTGAATTATGTATAAAGAAATGTTGTATTGTCTTGAGGTGATTAGCTTTCAATTTATTTTTAGAAGTTACTTATTTAATGATTTTAAAAATGCTGATTAAGGTATATTAATTTTAGCCATGATTATGTATGTCATTTTCTATTTTAAGACTATTATGATGTATTTAAATGGGTTTTTATGGTTGCAAACTACATTGGAAATTTGAATTGAGATTATGACCATATCTTGAGGGAAAGAATTTTTTTTGGAAAAAAGGGGGGGAGGTGAAAAAAATTGGGGGGGGGGGGGGGGGGGGGGAGTAATTGTGAGGGGGGGGACAATTTTTTCAGGGGGGTGCGGTAAATTTTTTTTTTAGGGGGGGGGTCAATTCGCAACAGCATAGTGTATTACACAAAAGCAAAAAATTGAATATAAATTCAAATCATATAACCAATTCTAAGTTCTTTGACTACAGTTATTCTGTGTCAGAAACCTATTATGTGTCAAATATTGAATTACAATCCAAATTCAGACCTGTATCAAGCGCAAATATTGTGTCCATTTTTGCCCCAACTGTTCAGGGTTGGACCTCTGCGGTCGTATCCAGCTGTGCTTGGCAAAGCAATTTATTAAATTTTTACATGTTTTTACTGATGAAAAAAATAGAGATCATATGGCCCAAAATTGTTGTTACATTGCCACTAATAGATGTAATAAAATCCTGGTTTGACAGCCTCTTGTACTAGTTTAATAAGCAGTGTGAAAACATTGTGACTCCGAAAAGAATTAGGTAATTATTGTATTAAATATAATTACAGACCTCCTTCATCCCTGAATCTGAGGAATACAATCAGACCAAGGCAAAACTTACAGCAGAAATGGATGTAGCAATGGGAGGAAGAGTGGCTGAAGAAATCATTTTTGGAAGTGATCATGTCACAACAGGTATGTTTATATATAACTGAATGAGATCCTTTTAATTTCTCTCCTTTTGCAAATTCAAAGGATGTTTTATATCATTTAGCCATTAGAATAGATTCCATCTCCTGTATGTAGAGGAGGATTGACAGCATCTATTTCAACATTCGTCTTGTCAGTTGCATAACAAGAAACAGATATATATACAATATATGTACATTGTCGGAAAATATAAAATTTATTTGTACAAGCTTTAGCACTAGGACGAAAAGCAAGGCTCTCTTTTGTCCCCCGCGTAATGCGTTGCGGGGGAAATGAAATTATCGGCGTCCGTCCCCCTGTCTGGTCTTGTTAGCGCTCCCACAGGTACAATTCTTCCCAGAATTTTAAAAACAACACATTTTATATACTATAGGTTAATATCACAATCTCTCGGACATGTTATATAATGATGACCGATCGACTTTTTTTAAAAGAGTTATGACCCTTGGAAATATTAAATTTATGGAAAATGGCCTCATAAGCGCTCTCACAGGTACAATTTTTTATAAAACTTATATTATACTATAAGTAATGCCCTTGGAGGTCTGTTTGAAATATTTAGTATACAATAAAAAAAACTTTTGTCCTCCGCGCACGCTGTTTATTTATAAATTGTTTTAAAGAACAACAAAAAAAAGTGTTTTTTTTTTTAGTTATTGCCCCTGGATAGATAAAATATGTGCAACGCAGGGGACATTGGAACTCTGTTCTTTTATTTCTCTTGTTTCATAGCGAGTACAAATACATTTTATATTTCGGACAATGTACATATATTGTTTTTTATCCTACAAATTACACTGGCACTTGCAGCTTTAGTTGTTTTAATCCAAAACATTGTCTCTGCTTTTAAAATTGACATAGTTAAAACATGGACTGCGAAGAGGACCCGATTGTGAACTGTTATGCAAAAAGAAATATGAACATTACCACTAGCTCAACATGGAAGCGAGGTAATAGGAGATCTTTTTTGTACAGGTACAAATAAAGCAAAAAAAATTTTGTGAACCTGTTTTTTTGTACAATAGTTAGCTGATTGCAGGTTGAATTAGATTCAAATTCAGTAACCGATATATCAGATTAACATTCATTACAGAAGTTTTCATATAGTCTTTTTAGGTGAAAATAGAGTATGTTTATAAATTTTAAGAAGTATTTTAGTTCAGATTAGAACTGAGGAAAAAAATTCTTTCCAGTGAAAATGTTAATAATTTTACTTGAATAATATAAAAATATACAATTTCTGGTTTTTAAAGGCAGTGCTTTAATGCCTTTCTAGTTGCCGGGTTAATCCTTCCTTCCGCGATATCCAACTTATCTACGTGGGGGGTCGTTAGGCTCCAAGTAGATCCGGAAATGTTGAATTCTCTCCTCTTCTTATTGTGATATAAAATGATTTTTGTTTCATTTCATTTACATTGGGAAATAGAGAAACGATCATTGTGTTTTGTTAGTTTTAAAAACTTTTGATATATTTGTATTTTGCATTATAAGCAGTCAACCGATTGACAAACTAGAATTATTTGAATTCCGTGTGGAAAGAGCTCGGGTTAATTTCGAGTGTTATCTGCAATCTATATGTTTATAAATCATTTCAGTCGTTGATATAATAATTAAAGGTCGACTGAACATGAATTATATTATACAATTTAAAGCGCATTTCTGTTTATGCACGTGAACCCGTCTAACGTTATTGTTATTTCGCAATTATATAAAGTAGCAAATTATCGTTCCTGAATAGGTGGCGCCGTGGTAGCCGATCCTGTTCCTCAACTTCCGGTTTCTGCACTGTGCAACTATTTCAGTTACATTTTTAATTAACGATGCCAAGTACTTGTTGTCGTGTACCTGGATGTCATTTAAGAGGAGGACATGCATTTCCAAATGACTTAAAAAGAAGGAAAAGTTGGATCAACGCCATGGCCCATACGCAGATTGGACGAGAACACGATGAAATCGTGGAGTCCATCTCAATCAGCTGTTGTTTGCAAGGCACATTTTACTGAAAAAGACTACGTGCAGGAAACTATTCATGGTAAAACTCTATTTTCTTTTTGAAATATATAATTATATATGTAATCGCCATGCGAATAAACCAAAGTCTGTTTACAACCGCAATTATCGTTTTAGAATAAAAGGGGGTGGTTAATTCAAGACGTCATAATTTTTTGGATTACGATTCAATGTGATCTGTTTGAGATTTTTTGGTGATTGCTACAATTATAATGATTTCTTACAAGAGGTATATCATACTGAGAATTATTTTAGCAGTAATTAGTAATGTAGTAATGACAGGAATGCATAAGCTATGCCTCATAGACTTTCTTGAAAAATATCAATGACAATGTTAACAGGAACAAAACAATGACATGCTCTCATCTATGTTATAGTTATTTAGGTACAAACAATGTACGTTTGTTGCATAAGCCTCTCATTGTTTGTCCTTTGGATTTACATAACATACATTGAATCAGGCAAACATAGTTTTATCCAGATTGTAATGAATAAATCTAGTTAATATTTCGCCAGGTAATACAAAGTATACATTGCTAATGGAAGTTCATTTAATTATCAAAAAACTAATGTTTTATAACCTTTTTCAGGGCGCAAACCCACCATTCAGAGACTTAAGTCTACTGCCATTCCCAGCCTATTTTCCTGGACCAAGCAAGAGACTGAATCGTCCGCTAAAAGAAAAATCAGGGCAGTTTCCTGTTAAATCAAAAGAACTAAACTTGATGAATATTGTAGTAGAAATCTAGAGGAAAGTTTTGATTGTAAAGTTGGTTTTCCTGAAGAAGTCATTCATACTGCAGAAAGGATTTATGACTGTCCACCACCAACTGCCGAGCTAATGTTGAGCTTCACAGATGGAATTATGCAAACACCATCAATGCCTATGTTTTCAGCAGAGAATTTTGAAATGAAGACACGTGACACAGCCATGCATTTTTATACCGGTTTAGGGTTGTATACTAAATTTTTATTTGTTTTGACCACACTTGGTCCAGCAGCACATTGTTTGAGATACATATATTTTCAAATTGATAGGGTGTCAGTTGAAAATCAGTTTTTTTATGACTTTGATGAAATTGAGGCATTATACAACCAACTTTGAACTTTCTAGATTCTAGATTGAATCTATTGTTAAGAATATTGTGTATACATGGATTGTTTTTATGTCTAAACAGTGGTGTGAGGCTAACACTTGGCCATCTAGTGGTTTAGTCAGGTATTTTTCACCATCCAACTTCAAATTAAAGTTTCCTACGACTTGGATTATTATTGACAGCACAGAATATCCCGTGATAAAACCTAAAGCTCAGGCAACCTTTTCATCATATAAAAACAGAAACACTGAAAATACTTGTATGTTCGACACCTGGTGGTTTAGTCAACTATGTCTCTAATGCATATGTTGGTTCTACGAGTGACTATGAAATAGTTGAAAGATGTAGAATAGTTCAATTATGTGATCCAGGTGACAGTGTGATGGCAGACAAAGGTTTAAATGTGCAAGATTTGTTTGCTAATTTTTTTCAAAAAAAGAAACAGAATTAGTTCCAAAACTCTTATACTGGATAGAAAAGTCTCCAATTAACATGTGCACATAGAGCGAATTATTGGACCTGGCAAAACATACAAAATTCTAATAAATCCTATGAATGGAACTGAAACAAAACTTTCATCTGAAATAACATTTAGTTGTACTATGTTGTGTAATTTTAGAACTTGTATTGTGCCAAAGGATGCATAAATAAAAGTGACGCAATGAATTTTGTTCTGATATATATATATATATTTATAATTACATGTACATGCACATGTAAATTGTAATGCATATAAAAATAAGGAGATGTGGTATGATATTCAGTGAGTTTATCGAACTAAAGTGCATAAGAAATGGGTTTAAGCAGTTACAGGTGTTACTGTCACCGTACAATCTCCAACAATGAGAAATCTTGTACCTTGTAAAACATTTCAGAGATCTTACCACTAAGTTTTGTTGTCTCACCTTGACTTTGGTGAATTGTTTATATCTGTTGATGTAAATGTAAAAAAGGAGATGTGGTATGATTGCCAATGAGACAACTCTCCACAAGAGACCAAATGACACAGAAATTAACAGCTATAGGTCACAGTACGGCCTTCAACAATGAACAAAGCCCATACCGCACAGTCAGAGCTCTATAAAAGGCCCCGAAATGACAATGTAAAACAATTTAAACAAGAAAACTAACGGCCTAATTTATGTACAAAAAATGAACGAATATAACAATTATGCAACACATAAACAAACAACAACCACTGAATTACAGGCTCCCGACTTGGGACAGGCACATACATGTACATACAGAATGTGTCGGGGTTAAACATGTTAGCGGGATCCCAACCCTCCCCCTAACCTGGGACAGTGGTGTAACAGTACAATATAAGAACGAACTATAAAAATCAGTTGAAAGAGGCTTAACTCATCAGATGGATAAATACAAATACAAGTGGACGTGGTCGGGTAGTTGTACATCCAAACAACAAAAAGACACTAAGTACAGATCTGAGAGTACTCAAAGTTACTGACAGCTACATGTAGTTCAAAGCCACTAACAACTGATAAAAAAATCTTGCATCTAAGACTAAATTATCAATCCGTAAGCTCCCTTTAGAATTTTATAAATTTTAGATTTTACATTTCTGAGTTATGGGGTTTTATTCATTAAAAAAGGGAGGATTTTCCAGTTTTTGTCGAGCCTGCGACTTTTGTCGCAGAAAGCTCGACAGAGAGATAGTGATGTGGCGGCGGCGTTAGCTAACTTCTTGAAAGCTTTATATTTTAGAAGGTGGAAGACCTGGATGCTTCATACTTTGTATATGGATGCCTCATTTTACGAAGTTTCCGTCAGCCACATGTCCAATGTCCTTGACCTCATTTTCATGATTCAGTGACTACTTGAAAAAAAAGTTAACATTTTTTGTAATGTTAAATTCTCTCTTATTATAAGTAGTAGGATAACTATATTTGGTATGTGCATACCTTGCAAGGTCCTCATGCCCGTCAGACAGTTTTCACTTGACCTCGACCTCATTTCATGGATCAGTGAACAAGGTTAAGTTTTGGTGGTCAAGTCTATATCTCAGATACTATAAGCAATAGGTCAAGTATATTCAGTGTATGGAAGGACTGTAAGGCGTACATGTCCAACTGGCAGGTGTCATCTGACCTTGACCTCATTTTCATGGTTCAGTGGTTATAGTTAAGTTTTTGTGTTTTGGTCTGTTTTTCTTATACTGTATGCAATAGATCTACTATATTTGGTGTATGGAATGATTGTAAGGTGTACATGTCTAGCTGGCAGGTCTCATTTGACCTTGACCTCATTTTCATGGTTCAGTGGTCAAAGTTAAGATTTTGAGTTTTGGTCTTTTTTTATAATACTATATGCAATAGGTCAACTATATTTGGTGTATGGAAATATTTTATGATCTATATGTCAGTCGCGCAGGTTTTATTTGACCTTGACCTCATTTTCACAGTTCATTGCTCAGTGTTAAGTTTTTGTGTTTTGGTCTGTTTTTCTTAAACTATAAGCAATAGGTCAACTATATTTGTTGTATGGAAGAATTGTTAGCTGTACATGCCTGCCTGGCATGGTTCATCTGACCTTGACCTCATTTTCATGGTTCATTGGTCAATGTTTAGTTTTCTTGGTTAATGTTAAGTTTATGTGACAGTTGTAATATAGCTTTATATTAAGGACTATCAACATAATATCAGTGATTAGTAAAGAAGGCGAGACATTTCAGCGTGTGCACTCTTGTTGGACAACAACTCAAATATGCTTTAAGCAGTTCGCATCAAACTTTGGTGAATTATTTATAGCTATTGATGTAATCTCCCTATAGATTTTCATAAATTTCAAATATGACATTGAGAAGAAATTGAACTTTATTTGTTTATAGTCTGGCAACAGATTTATTAAGTATTGCGCAACAGCACAGTGTATTGCACAACAGCAAGAAATCTTTAATTGAATATAAATTCAATTCATATAACCGATTTCAAGTTCTTTGACTACATTTATTCAGAAACTATAATATGTCAAATATTTAATTACAATCCAAATTCAGACCTGTATCAAGCTTGAATATTGTGTCCATTTTTGCCCCAACTGTTCAGGGTTGGACCTCTGCGGGTGTATCCAGCTGCGCTCAGCGAATCAGTTTATTTCTTAATTAAGAACTCCTTTTTTCATTCATAAATTACTTTAAACTTGGAAATATAATTTTGCTTGGAGTTATAGTTTCTTAAAAAAGTATTGTCATTGAAAGAGTTGACATGTTGCAATGTACATTTATTCTACATAGTTCTATGGTACCAAATCAAAAGTTTATATAAAAGAAAGAAGTCAAAGGTTTCCCATCATAGTTAAGTTACATACTTTTTTTTGTACCTGAGGTCGTTGAATATAGATCATTATATAAATAAGGAGATGTGTTATGATTGCCAATGAAACAACTATCATCCATACTTAACAGTAACAAACCACATTTGCAGAGTTGAATAAAATACAGTTGATAACATTTACTTATTACTAAAAAGAAAATGCCTAACTATTTTAAACAGTATTTGAATATCAATTATATGGTCATTTTTATAAACTTCCTGTTACAAAACTTTGAATTTTTCGAAAAACTAAGGATTTTCTTATCCAAGGAATAGATTACCTTAGCCCCATTTGGCACAACTTTTTGGAATTTTGGGTCCTCAATGCTCTTCAACTTTGTACTTGTTTGACTTTATAACTATTTTGATCTGAGCGTCACTGATCAGTCTTATGTAGACGAAACGCGCGTCTGGCGTATTAAATTATAATCCTGGTACCTTTGATAACTAATTTGACTATAAACATAGATAAAAAAGGTACAAACTGGACATAATGCACTAGTTCATAAACAAGTGAGAACAATCACCTTCATATAGTGCTCAGAATATGACATTCATATAACTTGTTCAATATCATTAGAGAACTCTAAATCTTAAATACTGAAAGCCACCTCTGATAAGTACACTGTACTATGCAAGATAATGATATAACTGGACTAAAAATACACACAACCTGTAATTAACTGCCTTTACAGCGCTTTCGCGCTTTGATTGTTTATAGGTTTTGATCTGGAACTAACAGTTGAGGTTCAAACTTAAGTAAACATATATTGCAAACAAAATCACATCAAAGGCTGTATTGTCTCCCATTGACTGGTAAATTACTTCCATATTTAAAAAAAAACGTTTCTAATATATGGATAATATAATCATACCATAGTTCATGTATGTATGGTTTGTTGCATTGGAATTTAAGCAAATATGACCTAGCTCAATATAAAATAAAGAGATGTTTAAATATTAAAAAAAAGTTTTCAATGAAGTGTTTTAACCCAAATTTACTGACTCACTTAACATGGAAATGTGATAGTGTGAGCTGGGCATTGTATCCTATGGACACATATATTTGTTATTTGTATGCCCCTGCTGCTAGGTGAAGGTGGCATTAAGGTTTTCCCTGGTCCGTCCATACATACATACTAGGTTTCCTCTCTCTTACTTTTAGTTTGCCTGAACTGAATGTTATGAAACTTATACACAATGCTTATCTCCACCAAACACAGATCAAGTTAGAATTTGGGTGATGTCACTTTCACTGTTCTAGAGTTATGTCTCTTTATTAATGAAAAAAAATGCTGAATTTGCTGTTTCTGCACTCTAACTTTACTTTGCCTCTACATCTTTATATATATCAGATATTATAACGCGAGTTCTTATTATTGCAATAATCTACCAGTTGCATTATTCCCATTTATAAAAACCTCACAATAATTGCAGAATTATATACATCACATGGATTAAGAAACGGACTTTTTTAGTCCTACATTTGAATGAATTATAGACATCAAATGGACTATGAAACATACTTTTTTAACCCTTTCACCGATAGCTGCCCTGACAGAAGCTACTCTGAGACAATGGCTTCCCTGGCTATTATGACACAAGTGGGAGATCTTCATATTAAATATCAATAAAAACTTGTCTGTAGTTATTTAGGTCTTTATATTATTCACTTACACCATGGACACAGTTTTGTTAATGTTTTGATCATTTTTTCTTTTCAAAATTATCGGCATGAGATAGATGAAATTCTCGAAATTCAATTCTTTGACCCAAAATCGTAATTTTTTAACCCAAAATGGCAAAAGTTTGAAAATTTTAACAAGGTTGTACAAATTCCTTACACTGAACCATGTCCATTCCAAGTGTTTTTGTACATAAAACAGCATTATTTGTCAAAAAAGTATACTAGTCTGGCTTCAATTCTTCCATATTCTTTCAAAAAAAATGTTCCCTTATTTCAAATTCTAGTAAAATCCGTAAATTTCATCTGATTTTGACATGGTTTTCAGCAAACGGAAGCGCCATGTTTACACTTTCATCTGGGTATTCAACAAAGAAAGATAAGTTCTGTTTGCAATGTTTTTTAGCGGGAAATGTAACAGAGGTATTCCGATCCCGGTTTACCTGGACTCATCGTCAGCTGTACAGTGAATCCCGGTAAACCGGGATTCGTTGGCGAAAGGGTTAACCTTACATTTAAATAAAATAATCAATTATCAATGTAGCAATGCAGATTGCTTTTAATTTTCATGATCACATTGTAGGTGCAAGTAGTGACTTTCAGAGTGCTTCAAGAATAGCAACAGCAATGGTGACAAAGTTGGGAATGTCAGATAAGGTAGAATTAGTTAATTGTAGTAATAAAAAAAAACTTAATTATTCTCTCCCCTAATAGGTTTATGAGAAGGAATTAAAAAATGGTAGTTGGTTATCATGTGGAGGCAATTTTTAGAAAGTCGGTGCTCAGGCTTTTAAACTTGCAAGGATTTAACATGACCAGTCAGAACAATATGCAAAACCCATACAGCTATAAAAAGCCCCGAAATGAAAATGTAAAACAATTTAAACGAGAAAACTAACAGCCTGATTTGTGTACAAAACAATAAATAAAAAACAAATATGATATACAGCAAAAAACGACAACCACTGAATTAACAGGCTCCTTACTTGAGACAGGCACATACAGAAAGTGGCAGGGTTAAACATGTTTGGTGGAGCTAAACCCTCATCTAAACCAGCACAGCGGTGGTAACAGTACAAAATAAGAAGGAAGTATAAAAATCAGTTGAAAAGGGCTCAACTAATCGGATAAATACAAAGCATACAAAAAGAATGTATTTTTATCCCCCTCTCCCCCTTTCCCCCTATGATAGTAAGAGGACATTATGTTTTCTGGTATTTGTTTTATATTCCATTCTTACATCCTGTATCAGATTAAAGATTTTTGGTAAAGGTAGTTTACCAGGATGTTGAGGTCATATGAACTTGAAACTTGGTGCACATGTACATTATGATATGAATCTTTTAGTTTATATCCCAGATTATGGTTTTGACACACATTTTCCTTTTAACTAATCATAGAAATGTGATAGTGTGAAACCAGTACATTCTCAGGTTAAAGATTTTCGTTATGGTAGTACACATGTTTATAATGATGTGATCTATTTCAATTATATGCCAAATTTCAGTTTTAATCCTGAATTATGATAGTGCAAGCGGGGCATCGTGTCCTATGGACAAATATTCTTGTTTCTGAACTATCTTCCGGTAGATTTACAGATATGATTTGTATTTACCCTCAATTGTACAGCATTATGTTTATTTATGCTTTCTAAGGACATAATGTTATTTGTCCAGTTTAAGCATGCTTCACACTAACCTTCCTGCTTGGAATGATGGTTTATAGGTTTTTGTTGTGACAGTAAAAGGACATCATTCATAAGAAAATAAACATATTTCCACATTTAGAATGGTTCATATAAAAGTCAATTTCATTGAAAAAGTGAAATATTGCACAATTGTAGGCTGGAATTAAGTAAGGTTCTTTTCATTTGTAACAAAAGATTTCCCTCATTTTATACAATAACTTGTTTCTTTAGTTAAGACATTTCATTAGAGTGTACAGTATGATAAAAATAAGTTTCATTTCCATTTTGACAATTTTCAATTTTGCTATTCTATAGAGACCAAACTTATTAGCTCACCTGGCCCAAAGGGCCAAGTGAGCTTTTCTCATCACTTGGCGTCCGGCGTCCGGCGTCGTCATTGTCGTCCGTCGTCGTTAACTTTTACAAAAATCTTCTCCTCTGAAACTACTTGGCCACAATCATCATTGGGGTATCTAGTTTAAAAAATGTGTCCGGTGACCCGGCAAACCAACCAAGATGGCCACCATGGCTAAAAATAGAACATAGGGTTAAAATGTAGATTTTGGCTTATATCTCTGAAACCAAAGCATTTAGAGCAAATCTGACATGGGGTAAAATTGATTATCAGGTCAAGATCTATCTGCCCTGAAATTTTCAGATGAATAGGACAACCCGTTGTTGGGTTGCTGCCCCTGAATTGGTAATTTTAAGGAAATTTTGCCATTTTTGGTTATTATCTTGAATATGATAATAGATAGAGATAAACTGTAAACAGCAATAGTGTTCAGCAAAGTAAGATCTACAAATAAGTCAACTTGACCAAAATGGTCAGTTGACCCCTTAAGGAGTTATTGCCCTTTATAGTCAATTTTAACCATTTTTCGTAAATTTTTGTAATCTTTTACAAAAATCTTCTCCTCTGAAACTACTAAGACAAATTTAACCAAACTTGTCCACAATCATCATTAGGGTATCTAGTTTTAAAAATGTGTCCGATGACCCTGCCCGTGAACCAAGATGGCCGACATGGCTAAAAAATAGTACATAGGGTAAAATGCAGTTTTTGGTTCATATCTCTGAAACCAAAGCATTTAGAGCAAATCTGACGGGATAAAATTGTTCATTATGTCAAGATCTATCTGCCCTGAAATTTTCAGACCAATCAGGCATCACGTTGTTGGGTTGCTGCCCCTGAATTGGTAATTTTAAGAAAATTTTGCAGCTTTTGGTTATTATCTTGAATATGATAATAGATAGAGATAAACTGTAAATAGCAATAATGTACAGCAAAGTAAGATCTACAAATAAGTCAACATGACCAAAATTGTCAGTTGACCCCTTAAGGAGTTATTGCCCTTTATAGTCAATTTTTTACAATTTTCATAAATTTTGTAAATTTTTGTAAATTTTTACAAAATATTTTCCACTGTAACTACTGGGCCAAGTTCATTATAGATAGAGATAATTGTAAGCAGCAAGAATGTTCAGTAAAGTAAGATCTACAAACACATCACCATCACCAAAACACAATTTTGTCATGAATCCATCTGTGTCCTTTGTTTAATATGCACATAGACCAAGGTGAGCAACACAGGCTCTTTAGAGCCTCTAGTTTTTACAAAATAAGTGTTTTTTTTAAATTCTGCATAAAACCTCAATTTTGGTTTGACCATATCTTTGTAAAATATGTAAATAATGTTGGGATTAATGATCAATGCTTCTTTTGATTTTAACATTTGCCTTTCTAAAGTTACGGAACATTGAACTTTCTTTATGAAAAATATGGGCAATAGCTTGTTTACTTCTACATTTATGTGAGATGTAAATACAGATGACAAAGGATTATGTCACAATGTAGAAGACGGAGCATACATCATTCATGACAGGGTTCATTATGTATACATCCACCATTGCCTCAGATCCAAATAATCATTTTAGAAATAATTGAAGAATATGGAGATCGCTGTATTAGCAACAAACAAATAAATCTTAATAGTACTAAGTCTTCTTTCAGATTGGAGTACGTGTTTTTGATATTCAGCAACAAGATGGTGGACTTGGGTTTATAATGGTTAATCAATACAGTGAAGCTGTGACTAAAGAAATAGATTCAGAAATAAAACGTCTACTACAGGTATTGATAACTATTTTTAAGGGGGTTATCTCCCATGGAAATGTAAATTCCATAGAAAATTGCATTGTTAGCTATTTTAAGCCAATATTTCTTGTATCTAATTTATATCAAAGGTTTATATCAGCAGTGTCTTGGACAAATTTCTAAATTCAGTGCTATTTAACTTTTTTTAAGAGTTATACCCTTTGGAAATAGGAATTATATGGAAAATTGCTTTGTAAGTACTCTCAAGCATACATTTCTTGTCAGACTTTTGAAATATACTAGTAATGCCTTATGCAAGTTTGAAAATCAGTGTCAATCAACTATTGTTACAGGAATTATGACCTTTGAACTATAATTTATATTAAAAATTGCATTGTGGGCATTACATTTCTTTCAATATTAATGAAAAAGTTTAAAAGAACCCTAAAAAATATTGGAGTTATTGCCCTTATATGTATAAAATTTGTACATTGACAGGGGACATTATAACGCTGTTCTTTTATTCAGTTTTTATATTTTGTATTACAGGAATCTTATGACAGAGCTAAGAAGATATTAACAAACCATGCGGAACAACATAAAGAACTTGCTAAAATGTTAATGAAATATGAAACATTAAACAAAGAGGAAATTAAACTTGTGATGGACGGCAAAAAACTCAACAAGAAAGTTTTCAGTTGATATTAGTTATGCAGCATAATTTTATACAAAATTTCTGGTCATTGCGATTTCTTGATTTGGTAGTTCTCAAACAACAGGAACTTCAGTGTACACATTACCATTCAGAAAATTTGGTGTCAGAACACTATTTTATAATTTTAAGTGTCTGAACTAGCATTTTAATGAACTTTATGAATGGATGATATTCTGATAAGACATTCAATATTCTAATAAGACAAGATAAATGTAATTCAGGGATACTAATGTATACCAGTCAAGTTCTGAGTTATCATGGTGTGGCTATTTGTCTTAATCATTGTTATAAGATACATTTTAGGTGTTTGGTTAAATATTCCTTACCCCAACAGGGCATATGAAGTTAACATGAATTTTATCATTTCATACTTTCTGAAATTCTCATTTTATTTTTAACATGCACTCTGTATATGTGTACAGTTTAGCCACATTCATGTTTTGTATCGACTTGCCACTTGTAAAAAACTATAGAAGACACATTGTAGTAGAAGATATTTATGCATTTAATATTTTGTTTGTGTCTTGACAGGAAACAGTCTTGTTGAAAAATGTTTAAAGCTTACAAAAACATACAAAATGGTAATAACCTGGAGTTATATATTGGAGAATAACACTTTTATAAATGCCTAAAGAAAACATGTTTTGGTCAGTTAAACTTTTTCTGTCTAGCAGATTTGTTTCTCACATTTATTTATACTAGTAAGAAAACAGACACAAACTGGACCTTAATGTATAATTTTTATAGATTTTTTTAAAAATGTATAAATGAATAATTAATGAAAGATTTAATGATAAATAGAAATAGAATAAATGATTAAATATGACATGAGGTATGACTTTTAAAGATTTTAAATTTTTACATCAGATCTATATAACATATTGACATATATCTAAACAACCTGTTCAATGAATGCATTTGTATTCAGTGTTTACAAATGTTTTACTTTTTTAGTCAATATTAATTTATAAGTAAATCTGTCTTGATAACAACAGCTACAGCCCTCTTGTTGATCATATTGACTGTTCATGTATAAATGATAACAACAGCTACAGCCCTCTTGTTGATCATATTGACTGTTCATGTCTAAATGATAACAACAGCCACAGCCCTCTTGTTGATCATATTGACTGCTCATGTCTAAAGAAACAATACACAATATATGTACATCACTGCTCAACTAGTCAATATATGACAAAAGGAATGACCTGCATTGAAATCTTGTCAAGTAAGAAATCAAGTTTTGGCTAACGAATATTTATTTTATTAATTTTATTATTCTCTCTGTAGTGATTTGTTATTATAACTCACTTGTCTCATTTCCCTTAAATGTTTTATGTTTTATAATGTTAATAAAGTTTTACCTAAAAGGTACCATTTATATATTACCAGTACTTTAGTTATCTATTTTGGTGGTATTATGATATAGTGATACATGTTCTAATAATGGTAGGGAATGTATTGTTATCTAAACGTTTTTATCTTAAAAATTGAAACTTTTGTTTCCATTCATTTTCAAAACATTTACTAATAGGTCAGATGCAATGTTTTTTTTAGTGAGTTATGTATAAAATTTCATAAGGTGTTTTGGTCAGCAAATATTGCTTTATTAGTGATTAAATTCATCTTGTATATATTTATAGTAAGCATGAATGTTTTGCAGATAAGATAACATTTTCTACATGATGTCATTTCACAGTTGCTAACTTGTCCAACTGTAAAACATTTCACAATGTATTATTGTCTGGTATTGTAAAGCTGGGGTTGATTGGAAAATTGGAGATTTAGTGATGTTGTGTACTATCTTATTATCAGAGGATTACATTTACAAATATAATTGATAAAATGATATTATGAGGATATTTGTTAGACCAGGCAGTGTTTTTGTTGACAATAAAATCATTTTTCATAACACAAGTTTTGTGGTCATTATTTACTCCTTTCCTACTACACTGGTACAGATGACCAGTAGGCTTAGTTTAAAAATGAAGGATTAACTTTAAAATGTTTTTACTTTTATATCTAGTTAATACTATATAGTCGTTAGCAATCACTCTTTCTGCTTGTGACAGTTGTGTCTGACTCAGAACTTTAAAATGCATTGAGCAATATTAATGATAGGTTATATATATTTTAATTATATCCCAACACTAAAGGGTGGGCTAGAAATAAGGTTGGAATGACTGCAAAGTTATGGCCAATACTTTGTTTATTAAGATGAATGCAATGAGCTTTGGTTGCAGTACCTCAGTATTTGGAGGGCTCAGATTAACAGGGAAAACTAGCATCCCTGGCATATATAGGTCACCTCTGTTAAGGTAGCTGAGGTGTCAAAATGTTCGACAATAGATTTTTCTTAAAACTTCTGAAAAAGTCTTCTGGGTCAATGTCAGAACTTTCAAATTTCAATATAAAAAACTGGGGGTCACAGACCTTGTTTATTTGTTAAAATACACTGAAATTAACAAAATTCCAGTATTTTATATGGGTTATATAGGGAAACTTTTTTTTTCTTTATTAAGGAAACATTAAATAATAAAATAAGTTAAAATTAAATGAGATAATTTCTTTTTATAAATACTTCCTAAATATCAAATAAAAATTGGTGGTCACAGGATTATTTTTCTTGAAAAATAAAAAAAACATTTTGTCATACCAAATTCAATAATATAATTATCTGCCCTTGATTTTTTCGAAGGCATGTATTGTGAAATTTTTAAATACACTTTACAACACTTAATTTTTTTGATAGTTTAATCTTTAAGGGGGTACCCAACACTATACCCCAAAAAAAAACTGTCATTTAATTTTTCTTGTTTTTCTCTCATTAATAAACTAGGCCTAGCTAAACATCTTATAAAAATTCCAAAAGATTTGAACCATTGGTTTAAAAGATTTGGCAACTCAAATATGGCATCTTTTACATGCTAATATCGGCCAAGCTTAGAAGTTTCAGAAATATGGATATTGGGGTCTATATGTTGATATTTTTAAAAATTAATCCTAAATTGACAATAGCACAGTTTATAATGAAAACTGAGGCGAATTTTAGTTCCCTTTACTTGTAAGTTTTTATGTCCTATGGGGGGAGGGGGCATTAAGTTTTACCATTGTCCATACGTACATGTGTACTAAAATCTGTACGTCCCAAAGTTAGTTTCCGTTCTCTAACTTTAGATTGCCTCAACCAAATGTTATGAAACTTATATACAATGCTTATTACCACAAAACACAGATCAAGTTTGAATTTTGGTGGCATCACTTTAACCGTTCTAGAGTTATGCCCCTTTACAAATGGAAAAATTAATTAATTTTTCGTTTCCGTTCTATAATTTTAGTTTGCCTCAACCAAATGTTATGAAATTTATACACAATGATTATTACCACAAAACACAAATCAAGTTTGAATTTTGGTGGTGTCACTTTTACTGTTCTAGAGTTATGCCCTTTTACAAACGGAAAAATTGCTGAATTTTTTGTTTCAGTTCTTTAACTTTAGATTGCCTCAACCAAATTTTATGAAACGTATACACAATACTTAATACCACAAAACTCAGATCAAGTACAAATTTGCGTAGTGTCACTTTTACTGTTCTTCAGGTATGTCCTTTATAACGTTATATGATATGCAAGCGGGGGCATCATCTGTGTCCCATGGACACATTCCCAAATTTATTTATTCTGGATTTCAATTTTTGTCCGAACTTAAAAGGGGGGTCTCAGATTCAGCCCCCAAAAATGACTATGATGGGTCAAGTATTTGAAGAAGAAAATAAAAAAAAAAAAAAATGTGTCGTTTATTTTTTATTTAAAACTAACCATTTGTAGTGCTATATCAGTCTGTTATTCTTGCAAAAATTTATAAAAATTTAACCAAAAGATTTTTTTCTATTAAAGTTTAAAATATACCCCCACCCTCAATAAATAAGAGCAAGATCCATTCTAATATACATATGGGCCATAACTTTTTTGTCTTTTGATCTAGGCCGTAGATATTTGGCATGTGGATGTATCATCATGAGGTTAAGTGTTTAGTATCATGATGACCTTCATGTGACCTTCAAATTTGACCTCAAGGTCAACTTAATGTATTTTTTCGCAAGAAACACGACCAGGCCATAACTTTTTCGTCTTTTGACCTAGGCCTTACATCTTTGGCATGTGGATTACAATAATGACTTAGTGTGACCTTGAACTTTGACCTTGAGGACGAGCAATGAAACTGAATTCAAAGTTTTATTTAGAGTCGATATTTAGTAAACAAATACAAATCGACCATACAACAATATAGACATTATGACATATCAACAAATTCCATGCATACAAAATACATAAATTATCTGTTATCGAGACAAAAAATACATGTAGTTCCATAAAAATTTCAAAAAGGCATAGTTTCTATTAAGGCGAAGTGCACGTAATTTACTACTCCACAGATTTTTTTTTTAAATTTCACATACGGATTCTGCTCGTAAAAGTACACCAGACAATAAAATAAAAAAGGGGTAAACGTTTTCGTTTTTGAGATACGAGCTGTTGAAATTAACAGCATGAGACGCCAAAAATACAAAGGATACATAGGGAAAATCATAAAAATCAGCAGATATTTTTACATTATCAAGATTTTCTATTTTGTTGGTTCACAGATTTAAAATAAAAATTGATATACGATTCAAAAATGAACGACGAATCCATTGGTGCAAAGAACCATGGCTCCTGAAAATTTGAACTAGGTGGTCGAATAGAGCTGACCGTGCGAGATCCTCATGTATAATCAAGTTAGTTAAACATAGAGTTTGATAGTATTTCTGAAGAGGTTATGAAAATTAGATACAATTGGTTTTTAAAAATCCGACTCAACGTGTCGGTCTAGTACAAAGCAGGGTTAATATTCATATTACATTAACATGTTCTCGTCCTGAATATGCATATTAATTTGCTGCAGGACGTTAAGCAGCCATCCATCATCATCATTATCAATAACATGAACAGCTTGAATTTTAATGCAACAAATGTCAGTTTTGACAATTAATGGCATCTTAGTGTTCGAAAGTCCAAAACCTATGACAAAAGTTTAAAGACTTAAAAAAACGAAAGTAAATCCAAATTAGAACAATTAATCAGCTATGCATGAGGGGGATAATTCCTTGAAGTAGAATGATGGAAATTTTATAACAGAAAATTTCGATAGTACGCCAAACTCGAACAAATAATCCAAGCTATGCATGAGAAAAATACATTCCTCGATTTCAAATGTTTCCAAAATTTAATTACAATAAATTCAATAAGACAATATCCATATGTTGATGTCAATATTGAGGATGACATTATATACAGGTTTGATTATTTTTAGACTTTAGTTCTCTGTTAAAAAGTCTCGTCAATGATTTTGTATGCCAGACAAGCCTGTCGTCTACAATAGAGTCACCAGTGACACTCGAATCAAAAAAGTTTAAAGGCAAAATACGGTACGAAGTGAAAAGAGCATTGAAGACACAAAAATTCAGAAAGGTTTTGCCAAATACAGCTAAGGTAATATATTCCTGGAGGCAATTTCGAAACAATTCAAAGTTTTGTAAATAGTAAATTTATTAATATGGCCATTAAAGGTATATAAGTCATTCTATGTTTTTATCACAGCAGAAATTTTATTTATATGTGTATAATTTGTAAATTTGAATGAAAACAAAACTGTCTCTCAAAACGAGTTTTTTTTCTCTCATAGATTTAAAAAGATGGACAGAATAGTAAATGTAATACTTCACTGGAGGTTGGACAGTAAAGTATAATTGAAATAGGCAAACTAAAAAAATAAAGCATAATTTATCTATTATTTCAGGATAGAGAAGGAAAGGGAGTATTAACATAAAGAAAAAAGACATTCAACTTTTAGAAAAAATCTTGTAAATGCAAGAGAAAATAAAAGTTGAAAATAATGCTTACCATGAAAAGAAAGGATTGGTCTCTTTATAACATTATTCCTCATTACCAATACATTTTTTTATGTTAGTTAACAGATGAAGTTTGTCTCCCCTTTACTATAAGACAGATGTTAATCGATATTTTCTTTTAGTTTGAAAAGAGCAAAAAATAAGGTAACCGACTGATAGGAAAGGCAGGGAAATAAGAAACTTAGGTTCCATCTCCATCATAAGTTTATCTTAGGAGGATTCGGCTATTCTGTTAGGTCGCTGTTGTTTTTATTTATATCTCCTCATGTTTTCAAGTATTTTTGTATTCCTGTGCTATTAATGTTTGATGTTTTAGCTTTCCTGATAAAGATAAATCCAGAAAAGCTTTTCGAACGCAACCATTTCATAAAGTGTTATTTTCATTATCTTATTTTTCTGTCGGTTATCTTCAGCAACTTTACAAGATATATCATGTGTCAGAAACATAAATCAAAACCAATCTTTAAAAGCCATTTTTCTGAAAATATATTTAACGAGCCTCGAACTCTGTCGTAGCATTACTATTGTGCCAAAAAAACCAACATTTTGTAAACAGTGATGTTGAAGTAGAAGTTGAAATGGATGTTTCTAAAATAGACAAATTTGATATCCCATGATAGTAATGATATATTTAATATGTAGTAAGATTTATTGTCGCGATTCCTTTCAAACTCAATAATTCAAGTTTTGCCAAGTTCACAGGAGGTAAAAACAAACAATGCTATAATGACTAAGAATTTACGTAAGAATGTAACGATTTTCGGGTTGAGAGTGTATAGATACTTGACAAGACCTTTAAATAGAAACCATTAAGTAGAATAAAAAATGTGATTTACAGTTAAAGATTTTTTTTAACTTATATTAATTGCTATTTGAAAGTATGGTTGTTTGATTTTATAATGTTATTTTTGATCGTACCTTTTACTTACTTTTAGTTCTAGATATCATTATATTCATTGTTATTTT